CCTCTCTGGTTTGCCAACGATCTTTAAAAACCTATAACCGGGAGAGAGCTGGCTCAGTGGCAGAGAGAGTGCTTGCTGTCCAATCAGGAGGAACAGAGTTCCAACCCCAGCACCCACCTAAGAAGCTGGGCAAATTCCTTCCCTGTGGACATACACAATGCCTACCCCTAATTCTAAAGTTCCAAAGACTAGGTACAGTTCCACCCAAGTTCACCGGGGAACCAGTGAGTCAGGCTTACTTACAGAGCAGCCAGCAGGAAGTTATGAGCAGGAGCAGAGGTGACCTTAAAGCTGCCACACTGGACAGCCTGCACCCAGGAGGGATGATGGCTTCCTCATGGCTGCGTAGAGAAGACCCCTTCCCCTCAGCCTCCCACCTACGTCCTCTAGCCCCACCCCCACGAGCCATGAGCCCAAGGCAGTTAGGGCAGAACTGCCTACAGCTGGTTGGCAGGGTTGGCTCCCACGACCCTCCTGCCTCCTCCTTCTAGGAGAGAGGGGAATAGTCAACAGGCCCAGCTGTGATGAGCTTCTGTGAGCAGGCCCAGCAGAACTCCAAGGCAGCCGTTTGTGTTGGAAGACGGTCCTGCACAAAACCTCTCCCTTTTCTTCCAGCGCTTACATTCCTTTCCACCCCTCTCCCACAAGGGTCCCTGAGCCCAGGAGTGGGCGACACACATTGACCGTTCTAACTCCAGTGAGGTACCCACCCGTGTGCCCTTTCTTCATCCTTCTGTTTCCAGAAGGTGGCTGATGGCAAGGCTCACGCGTATGTCCTCTACTACAAACACCAGTGAGGAAAACGGATGAAAAACAGAAATGGGAAATAATCCGAATGGACGTGACCTGTGTTAACAGCCTGTGACTGTAAGCACAAACGTGGGCAGTCACCCGGGCTAGTGCGTCCTTTGACCAGGCGATAGCAATTGCTTCTCCAATAGCGCCTACGGCGTCTCTGGTCAGATACTTGTCTACTTCCCAGTTCTAGACAGGTCTTGCCTCCTGGGAGGCGGCCTTCCGTTCTGTCCACAGTCAGTGCCAGTGTCCCACTGGCTGCCACACCCACCGTAAGGCACACAGGAGCCGCAGCTAGATAGGGTTTTTGGACTTAGTCCGCCCCAGCATCCCTCGTCGCACCTTCTGGAATTTATAGGAGCTAGCTGGCAGGAAGGAAGACTTTCTGCCCAACCCTAGCTCTATCTCTCCAAGTGACATCTTCAGCAACAGGTTACCATTGCAACCGACCACCTGTCAGTAGCCTTTATGGTTTCAGGGGCCTCTAGGACCTCTGTGGCCAACAACCCAGGGAGATGACCCGCTCTGGGCACTGGGACTCGAGACTAGCAGCCTTATGTCCGCTGGAACACCCATCTCTACTCTCCGTAGATACCCCTGTTCAGCCGTTAGCATGTACAGGCCTCAGCTGTTGCAGACTTTTCCTCATCACCTTGGTGAGTATCACTTGGGCCTTCTACAACCATAAAGCTCCCAAGAATTCCACAGCAACAACCGGCTTTTGAACGCTTTGAGAATCACTTCCCCATGCTTGATTCATTTAAGAGGCACTCACGTGTTGTTGTCTAGGAGGGTTTCGCTATGTAGCCCGGGCTGCCTTCAACCTCAGAGATAAACTTTTAATACCTACTGGGATTAAAAGTGCTGAGGTTAAAAGTATGGGTCACCACATCTGGCCCAGAAATGATTTCTTACTGTCCCCAATAGCATTCCAGCGACCTCTGCAGCCACTTCCGGTACCCGGGCTTTGGTGTGTCACTCTCAGGGTGCCTCCATACTCATATGGACACACTCATCAAGCAGGTGTCAGTGGTACCACACAGAATGCCACCAGGGACTCCCCTACAGATGCCCCACTTTCAGGTGGTCCCACCAGTTACGTGTGTCGGTTTCCTCCATACTGCCCATGCCCCTGCCACTGCCCCCACAAACCCTCTGGGGACAGGCCACCCTGTCAAAATTCCCTCTGTAACCAATCTACCTTCAGACAGTGACACTTCAGCTGTCTGGCTCATGCTTCTAGCAGGAGCAATGCCATGTTCTTCCCAATCTCTTCCCAGATTTTGTTATAGCCTGCCAACTATGGCAAGTGTTGGGAAAATTCCTTCCCTGTGGACATACACAATGCCTACCCCTAATTCTAAAGTTCCAAAGACTAGGTACAGTTCCACCCAAGTTCACCGGGGAACCAGTGAGTCAGGCTTACTTACAGAGCAGCCAGCAGGAAGTTATGAGCAGGAGCAGAGGTGACCTTAAAGCGACCACACTGGACAACCTGCACCCAGGAGGGATGATGGCTTCCTCATGGCTGCGTAGAGAAGACCCCTTCCCCTCAGCCTCCCACCTACGTCCTCTAGCCCCACCCCCACGAGCCATGAGCCCAAGGCAGTTAGGGCAGAACTGCCTACAGCTGGTTGGCAGGGTTGGCTCCCACGACCCTCCTGCCTCCTCCTCCTAGGAGAGAGGGGAATAGTCAACAGGCCCAGCTGTGATGAGCTTTTGTGAGCAGGCCCAGCAGAACTTGCAGATGGTGGTAGTTTGGCTCCTGTATAAAGTAGCAAGCACTCTGTTAGGTCTCAAACTCGGGCAGAAGGCTAATTGAGGTGCTATTAACTTATCAAGGTGGACTCACACCACCGGTCTCCCTCAGTCCCTACCTGTTACAGACTCCTCGTGGCTAGCACATCCTGCCATCTGCTCCAAACTCTCCAGCCCAGGTTTGGGCTGCCCTTCTCCCAGCTTCTCTGATTCCTATATAATCAGCTAGTTTGGCTACTCGGGTCTCTGCCTTTTGCCCTTGGCCATTTGGTCTGAGGCTCCTGTCTTAGCCCCACTCTCCTCTCGATCAGAGCAGCTATGAGAACCCTACAGAAACCCCTCAGCAAGATCCTCAGCCTGCTGAAGCTGCCCCAAAGATGGTGTAGGGTCACTAGAGGCCTCCATGTGATATTCCAGCAGTTCACTCCCTCCTGTGCCATCCTGCCCCAGCTTCACACGGTCTCAGGAGGCGCTTGAGTATATAAAGCACGGTGGGGAGACTCCACTCATGAAGTCTATGGAAATTATCATGCATGTTGAGGGAACACTTGGATATGGCTGTTGGGTATCACTTCACTCATGGTCCTTAAAGTAAACCTACTGAGCCGGGCGGTGGTGGCACACACCTTTAATCCCAGCACTGGGGAGGCAGAGGCAGGCAGATCTCTGAGTTCAAGGCCAGCCTGGTCTATAGAGCCAGGGCTGCACAGAGAAAACCAAATAAATAAATAAAATAACAACTCTTTGGCTTATCAAGCTAGATTCAAATGGCTCATTACTATGGTCTGTTGTTCGTACCCTGAGGTGAATAGGGGATTGTTAACCTTTTCCCAGGAAAAATTCACAGTGTGGTTTCTTGTTTTTGTTGAGACAGGGTCTCATGTAACCCTGACCTGACTGGCTTTGAACCTGTTAAGTAGCCAAGGCTGACCTTGAATGCTTTTCTGTTGATAATTTATTTTATGGGTATTTGTGTGTGCTTGAGTACATGTCTTTTGTTTGTTTGGTTTTGGTTTTTCGAGACAGGGTTTCTCTGTGTAGCCCTGGCTGTCCTGGATCTCACTCTGTAGACCAGGCTGGCCTCGAACTCACAGAGATCCGCCTGCCTCTGCCTCCTGAGTACTGGGATTAAAGGCGTGCATCACGACCGCCCGGTGAGTACATGTCTTTGCACCACTTGTTTGCAGAGCCCACAAAAGCCAGAAGAGGATGTTGGATCCCCTGGAACTGGAGGAACGGACTGCCTGCCGTGAGCAGCCATGTGGGTGCTGGGAATCAAACCTGGTCCCCTGGAAGAGTAGCCAGTGCACTTAACCACTGAGTCACCTCTCCGTTTTGTTTGGGAAGAGGGGAGTACTGGAACTGGGAATATGAACCTGGTGGAGCACGTATACACACACACATACACACAATCTCCTGATGTCTAGGAGCTGGCGGGACAGAGCCGGCCAGGTTTCATCATTGAGCTGATAGGCTCAGAGTTTTGGTGTTGAACCAGATATAAAATACTAGCACCAGACTGTCATTCAATGACTGTGATGAAGATAAAAAATAAGAAATAAAACCAGTTCACAATTTCACAAAAACAAGTTAGTGTGCAAGCCACAAAGAAACAAACATCTGCTTCTAAGCTAGAGAGGCCGTTGGTCCATCAGCATCGCAGCTCTAGCATCCCTGTGGCCTGCCCTCGTTTTAGATAAAGATGCCCAGTTATAGGATGATCCCTGCCTCCTTTGACCATATCCAATCCAGAACAACACTCACTTCCTTAAACCCCCAAACCACTTACTCAAATCCCAAATCAAGTTTCTCCCCTTTTAAAATTAAAATATATAAATGTGTGTGTGTGTGTGTGTGTGTGTGTGTGTGTGTGTGTGTGTAGACATGTGTTTGTGTGTGGGTATGTACATGTGGCATTGTGCAGGCACCCTCAGAGTCCAAATGTCAAGACACTCCCTAGAGACGGGGTTACAGGTGGTTGAGAGCTACCCAATGTGGGTACTAGGAATCAAACTTAGGTCCTCTGCAAGAGCCTCTTCCTTCCAAGTGCTGGGACTACAGGTTTGTGCCACCATGTACCCCCCCAAGTCCTGTCACCTTCATGTGGCATACTCTGATGCTCAATGGCACACTTTCTCTTCCACTGCAATGAATATTAAACCAGCTTGGCCAACCACATGTGTTGCTGGTGATCTGCAGCTGGAATGCATTCATACATCTGTCATCTACAGTTCTCACAGCACTTCTTCTTAGACATCTGGCATAAAGGAAGTGAAGGCAGGATTTGAGAATTCATGACGGTATGTGTAATCATATTCCTAATAATTTATATGCCATCTCTTCTAATAATCCAAAATTGTGTCAAGAACAAACATTAAGTTTAACAAGATATTTCTAAAATTTGTAAGTAGTATTTGCCCATTAAAAAAATTTTTATGTGCCAGATATGGGGGCTCACACCTTTATTTAATCTCAGCACTTGGGAGGGAGAGGCAATTGAATCTCTGAGTTCAAGGCCAGCTTGGTCTACAGGAGACCCAGGACAGCCAGGACCACACAGAGAAACCCTGTCTCAACTCCTCCGCGCCCCCCCACAAAGGAGGATGGGCTGGAGAGATGGCTCAGTGCTTAAGACCACCGAGTTCAATTCCCAGCAACCATATGGTGGCTCACAACCATCTATAATGAGATCTGGTGCCCTCTTCTGGCCTGCAGGGACACATGCAGGCAGAACACTGTATATGTACATAATAAATCTTTAAAAAAAGGAAAAGTGTGTGTGTGTGTGTGTGAGAGAGAGAGAGAGAGAGCATGTACAGGCCATACAGGCCATAGTACATGTTGGAGTTGGTTCTCTTCTGTGTGGAACTCGGGGCTTGAACTCAGGTCAACATGGTTGGCAGCAGGTGCCTTTACCCGCCTCATCTGCTGAGGCGTCTCACCATCTCAACGGACCCACATTTTGTCTTTACTTCTTTCCTCACTTCAGCCTTGTGAGTAGCTGGGACTACTGGCATGTGCTACAGCATTCCCCAATTTTAAAACATTCCTTTTCAAGGACTGGCCATGATCTAGCATCCCATCTCCAAACGCAGGTGTGACCACCCCGAGTGCTCCACCAAACAAGAGAGCAAAGGAGGAGGCAAGCACAACCACCACTTGTTGTACCAGTTTGCTGCCCCTTAGACACCCGAGTTTTTAGCCACAGATGGAGGAGACACTGAAATTTAGGTACTGGGGCCATTGTTCTCAACGACCCTTGAATGGCTTAAAACCTTCTGGTCTTGTGCAGAGACACAGAGAAGAATCAACACCTCTTCCTATATTTTTTTGAGATGAGGCCTCAGGTTGACCTTGACCTTGAACTCCTGATCCTCTGGTCACCTCCTTCCAAGTGCTAGAATTAGAGGTATGCTAATACCACAACTGCCTTTTCCTAGCATGTCTGAAGCCTGGAAAGCTTAAAGCTCTGGCCATAAAGAAGTGTTGGAGCAGGACATAAACTGCCATCAACAACTCAGAGAGGCACCACCACCTGTCCTATGTTTGAGTAAGGGAAGTGTCTGTCAACTCCACAACACCCATATCCCCATTTCTCAGCACACACACCCTCCTTCGTACCTACCCCCCTAAATGACCCTAAGAGCCCTGGTTACTAAGGTAACCTGGGAACAGCACATGAAGACAGAGACTAGAAACAGATGGGGCTATTTTTAAACTAGACTAGGTGGCTCCATTTCTTTTATCCCTCAAAGTGCCTTCCCCAGACCAAAGTCCCATTTGGCCATTTTACATCTCTACCCTTCGTCGCTGGCATCCACCAACTGACACAAGCTACAAGAGGAGGTCTTTACCTTATTTTTGTCATCAAGTCTATTTTATGCTCCCATCTTCCCCAACAGCCCTCTAAGTCAATTTTCACTTCCTTTGTTAAAAAATAACGTTCATTTATTTCTTTGGAAAGTAGTGGGCACTGCCCTACAGATTTCCAGGCCAAGCTTGGTAAGTGAATGTTCCCCTAGTCTTTGGGTTGGAGTATTATGGTCCCAGGCTTCCCAGGGGCCCATGAGCAATTCTGGGCCCCAAATCATCTGAAGGCTCATACGAGGCCTTCTCTCCTGACCACCCACTTTCCTGATCTTTCCTGGCTCTCCCTCTGGGTGGGGAATTTTTCTTTCCCATACCAGTGCTGGAACCTGTGCTGTTCACAAGTGAGGACAAGACCAGGGACATCTCCAACTTCCTATGAGTGAACACAGTCCCTCAGTCCTTTCTTTCTGCTGGCTTCCAGTCTCAACTCCTATGCAAGCCTCTGTATGAGTGAGGCCTGAAGGACAAGAGGACCCTTTCAAGAGTGGGGAGAACACACCAGCACAGCCCTGCCTCAGGAGATGCTCCTACGAAGTAGATTCCTTATAGTCTCTTGTCCTAGTTTTTGAGTGGCCCCTCAGACAGGGCCAGGGAGGGCTAGGCAAGTGGGGAAGGGCCCCATGATCCCAGCCCCTGACACTGTAACAGGGAGTAGAGTATCCATTAGTCCTGTCAGTGTGGCATGGCTGTGATGCGCATGCTCTGGGAAGCGATGGGGTAAGTCACCATAGGAGTAGTCGTGTGGCTCATTGTGATTCCTGCCAAGGGCTGGGCCATGGACACAGCCACAGGAGCCACAGGAGCCACAGATACAGCCACGGGGGCCATGGAAACAGGTGGGGGTGCCATCCCCTGGGCGATGGTTTGAGCCAGGGCGGCTGACAGTGGCGTGATCTCTGGGTTCAAGTGTGGAGGTGGGGGTGGTGGAGCAGCAGGAGGTGCAGCATTGGTTGGGGGCGCAGCTGGGGCTCCAGCAGGGGCCACGAGTTCTTGCTGGGACACAGGGCGAGGCTGCAGAGCCTGGCTGCTCAGAGTAGTGTGAGTCTGGGCAATGCCATGGTTAAAAGTGGCAACAGTACCCACGGTGGGGGCCAGGGTTTGCTCAGTCGCTGGGGCAGTGGAGCTCAGGGTCATGACCTTGGCCTGATTGCGGAATTGGGCATTTTGTTCCAGAAGTACCTCATTGGTGGCCAGTAGGTTGCTGACCTGTTTCTTTAGCTCCTCCACCCGTTTCCTGAGCATGGCATTCTCCTCCTCTAGCAGTCTGCACTCGACTCCACGGGGCGGAGCCAAGCTATATTCATAGGACTCAAAATGGGGGCCATCAGGAGGGCAGCAGCCACCTCTCCGGCGCTTAGGGCCTGGTTCGTGGTCCTCAAAGCCCCTCTCAGGTAGGTCGTAGATATCATAGAGGTCGTGGCGTCGTCCCGGGGGCACGGAGCCTGCTGAGCCTCCACCTCCAGCACCCCCTCCACCGCGAGCCTCAAACTCAAAATCCCTCTGCAGGTGACGGAACTTGCACTTGGTCCCTCTCTGACAGTCGCCTTTGAGGAAGTCACGGCAGATGGGGACCTCCTCCTTACCGTTGGGTAGGTCAGCAGGCGAAAGACCCAGCCCAGCCGCCACTTTCTGCCTCAGCCGAGGGGGGAGCTCTCCGGTCTTCTTATATCCATCCTCGTCCTCCTTGGAGCCATGGATGAAGCGGCAGTTTGGGCGGCTACACTCCTTGTTTTGGAAGTCATGGCAGAAAATAAATTCATTTTTGCTCACCCCCAGGTTGGACACCTCACTCATGTCTGGGTGGCGGTATCGACAGCGCTTGCCACGCTTGCACACATTCCTCAGGAAGTCTCTACAGATGGCATCTGAGGTGGCCCCCCCACTGCCTGTCCCTGCTCCACTGGCCTCCTCACTGCCACCACCTCCAGGGCCTCCACCGCTGCTCCCCGTGCCGTTGGCATAGTTGTCCCGGTCAGGCATCCTGGTGCCCCCCAACTCAGGGTTTTCTTCCTTTTCTTGCCACTCTTGGTGACTGTTAAAAAAGAAAATGGTGTTCAAAAGGGTTCCTCCAGAAGCTCCCGCTCTTCCTGACTACGCAGAGGGCAGTCCTCTGGGGCAGTGGCTCTGGAGATGGGGAATCTAAGGGAGGAGAATTCTAGCTGGCCTGGCTGACTTGCCAGAAGTCCCTCCCAGGCCCTTGTGCACCTGGTCTTGGTTGGAGTGATTCACACTTGCCTGGCTAACAGAGAAGGGAGAGAGCTGGGATGAAACCACCCTTACTAATGATGATGAGCCAAGAAGGGGGCAGGGAGAGCAGTGTTAGATTTACCTCCCCTTCTTAATTTGTGGGAGGGAAATTAAAACAGGTGTTGGCGTGTGAGAGACTGAGACTGGAAACAGTGCTCTAAGAAGGGCTATTTAGCTTTGAGAGCTCGTGGGTGAAGGGGTGCCAGGAACAAAACATGCCTTTGCCCCTCTCCCATGTGAACTTAGCCCAAGTCTCCATGTATTTTAGAAATCCTGGTGACTGCTCAGGTGACTGGTGTCACCAGCTGGACGGCGGTTTTTAAAGCTGTTACTCTCCTGGCCTGCTCTACACACAGACCCCTCCACTTCAGGCAAAGAAGTTCTAAGCTCTACCTCTAGGTCCCCAGGACAAAACTGTGGCAAGGTCAAGGTGGGAAGGAGTTAATCTCATGGGAATAGTGACCTTTCTTTCGACATTCTCCACCCCCCTCCATGAAAAGATCCCACTAACATCAAACCATGGCACTCCTTACCCCATAAAAATCCTCTTTATTTATAGACTCTATAAAAGCTTTTCAAGTCTCCTATTTCCCAAGAGAGCTCTGGAGTGTCAGTCCACTGCCCTAATTCTAGCCCTCTTCTCTCTATCCCCCAGTAGGACTGGAGTCCCTGCTACCACGTGTCTAACCGTCTAAAGGTTTCCTAAGTAGTATTCAGGCTCCCCCTGCTGTCCAAACAGGAGTTCATGTATTTCCCTCTGGGCATAAGGATACCTTTTCTCGAGTTCCCTCGCTTTGACATTTCTCACTCACACTGTTTCCTTGACTTTACTTTTAGATTTCCCTAAAATGACTAACCAGATCGGAGGCCAGAGACACAACGGGACGGAGCGGCCCCAGAATGAAAGGAGCGAGTGGTAAAGAGATGACAACCACCTACTAAAAGATAACGACCAGTTGAAGGATGTCCTTAAAGCCTGACCTGTGCTTCAAGCCCCACCAGAAGTGGATAACCGGATATGATACTCTTCCTCACCCAATGGTCCCCGAATTAATACCTGAGGTAGCTCAGGTGAAGTCCGGGGCTCCTGTGAGTCTCCACTTCCACATCACTGCTGGGTTCTGAACAAGAAACAAAAAGACCAGAGATTTGGGTGGAAGAGGGAAAAAGCGTGAAGGTTATGGGATGGTTTTCATAAATCGGAATGAATTCTGACAAGACCCCAAGAGCTTTGTGGCTTTTCAGGATTCTCTTACAAGTTCAAACTGAACGTCACCTCAGAGGGAGGAGGAGAAGGGCTGGAACCGACCACTAAAGCCTGGGAAGCTGGGTTCTCGGTGGAGGGTGAGGGGAGCTTTACCTCCAGATGAGGGTACGGGGATCAGAGTCGGAACCTGGGCGCTGGGCAAGGGCCACAACTCTGACAGCGCAGTGTGAGGGCGGACTCGGCCTGGGGGCGGCGACGAAAGCGGCCCCCGGCACCCCGGAGTTCACCGAAGTCCTGGAGTTTGCCCGGGTCCGCTCGGCGGCTCCGGGGAGCGCCCGGCGAGCGGGAAGGGGTGACATCAGGCCGAGGGATGGGCAGGGCTGTGACGTCACGGGTGGCGTGCGCCCGTGCGGCGGGGTCCGTCATTAGAGGGGCTCTGCCCGGGTGGCCGGGGAGAGCAGGGCCGGCCCGGGCGGAGGGGGGCTCGTGCGGCCCGGCCGAGCGCGGCCTCTGGGCCGGCCCCGGCTCCTCCCCTCCGGGCGCGGCCTCCACCTCAGCCTCCCGCCTCCCTCACCTGCCGCCGCCGCCGTAGTTGCTGCTGCCGCCTGCCGGTCCTCTAGCTTCGACAAAGAGCCGCCCACCCTACGGCTCTTCCGCTTCCTGCGGAAGGAGCGACGCTCTAGCCGCCAGACCCGGAACCACTCTATGGTCGACTCGGCGGGCCGCTCGCCGCAGGAAGCTCCCAGCGAGCCTTGCGCGTCACCATGGCAACACGGCCCAGGCGGACCCGGAACACAAACCGCGCCGACTTCTGCGCAGTGGCGGCGGAGCCCGCCAGCAGCGGGGCGGGCGCGGGGGTCGCGCGGACTTCGTCGCACGACCTCAGGCGCGCACCGCACGGCCGGCTCCCGAGAACCCAGGCCGGAGCCCGCGCAGGTCCCGGACGCTCCGCGGCGCGGACCACACACTACAAAGACTCCCCACCCAACGGAGCCGCAAGAGACACGCGACAGCAGTGTGATTCCTCAGCTGAGACAGCGACAAAGATGGTTTATTGTACACGAGTTACACCCGGCCACAGTGGGAACAGAACGAGTCCGCGGCGGAGGGCGGCGGGGTCTCAGGGGGTCGGGGCGAGCCGCCGGTGGCGATGATGGTCCAGGTCCGTCCGACTCCCGCGAGGGCAGCACACAGCCCGGGGACCTGCAAAGCCCCGGGCTCCGGCATGCCTTAGCTTCCGGCCCCGCGGTGCACAAGCCCCGTTCACTTGGACCTCTGCCTCATCTTTCTCCTCTTGCGCTTCAGCCTGTCACGGGAAAACACACACGAACCAGGCGGGTTTGTTTTGTTTTTTTTCCCCCTTTCAGCCGTTAAAAACCGATCCGCACCGGATATAAAGGCTGATGAAATTCACCCGCAGTGCAGTCAGTTCCCACCACGGCGCCACGCGCCCGACCCCACCGAGCCGCGCCCCACCGCCCCTCTCTCTCCGTGGTCCGCCAACGTACCTGCGCATCCGCTTCTTCCTCCACTGAAAACCCCATCACGGGAGGGAAAGAGGAAAAGGACGTTAGCAACAGGCTCAGACACGGGTCACGGCACTCCGCGGGGGAAGCGGTGCACAAAGGACCCGGGAGCTGGCAGCGACACCGGCCGCGTCCGGACCCCGGCGCCTCGTAGGGCTCCAACCCCCGGGCTCCCGCCCTTCCCGACCCAGGCCTCCAGGGCGCCGCGGCCCGCCTCGCCCACCCAGCATCACTGGGGCCCCTTTGGAAGCCGAGCGAGGCGCCACGGCGGAGACCGCTGCCCGCATCTCCGCCCGCCGCCGCAGCTCGACACCGGGGAAGCGCTCACCTTCGCTCTCATGGCGCAGGGGTCCCTAGGGCAGAGAGAGACAAGGGACAGTTAGTCTGCTGCGGTGATGGTCGACGCAGACGTCAGATGTCCACGGATGGGACTCAAAAGCCCAGACGCCGCCGCCGGGGAGACTCACCCAGGAAGATGGCGCTAAGGCCGAGAGACCGCGGAGTGCGGCCTACTGCTATTTAATGGCTGCTCGTGTCGTCACTTCCGGTGACACCCCCTCGCTCCCCCTAGGGGCGGGGCTAGTGGAGCGAGTAACTGACTTCCGGGTGCCTTACCCGAGGAAACAAAATATTTTGAGGGCGAGTTGTTAAGCCCCGCCTCCTCTAAGATTTATTTTAAGGACATGGTATTATTTCAGCACCAGCACCTGTTTCCACCATGGGACTGAAAAAAGTAGATGGAAAAAAATAACTTCCGTCTTCTCCCTCGTTGCTTCTTGGGAGTTGCAGTTTCTTGGTAAATACCTCCTCCATTTTACTATGAATAGGTGTGGCGTGTAATACGAGTTTACTGGTTTTCGCCGGGCGGTGGTGGCGCACGCCTTTGCTCCCAGCACTCCGGAGGCAGAGCCAGGTGGATCTCTGTGAGTTCGAGGCCAGCCTGGTCTACAGAGTGAGATCCAGGACAGGAACCAAAACTACACAGGGAAACCCTGTCTCGAAAAACAAAACAAAACAGAACAAAATTACTGGTTTTCGCCTGACATGTTGGTGCACGCCTTTAATACCAACTCTTGGGATCCGTGGGAGGCAGATGCAGAGGCAGGGAGAGCTCTCTGAGTTAGAGACCAGCCTGGTCTACATTAGTGAGGTCCTGCCTAAATAAATACATGGTGCTCGCCTTTAATACCAACTCTTGGGACCCTTGGGAGGCAGATAGGGAGGCAGGCAGGTGTCTGAGTAGAGACCTGGTCTACATAGTTAGGCCCTGCCTAAATAAATACATACATAAATAATAAAGTAAATAATTAAATAAATAATTCCTAATTTCTTTTTTTTTTTTTTTTTTTTGGTTTTTTGAGACAGGGTTTCTCTGTGTAGCTTTGCGCCTTTCCTGAAACTCACTTGGTAGCCGAGGCCGGCCTCGAACTCACAGAGATCCGCCTGTCTCTGCCTCCCTCCCGAGTGCTGGGATTAAAGGCGTGCGCCACCACCGCCCGGCCCCTAATTTCATTTTTGGTTTGACAAACCCACACACAAACACACACACATAGAACCCTCCCCCAGTTAAACTGCTGTGGAAATAGTTGATCTCCGAAATTCTAAAGATTTAAGATTTTAGAAACAGCCGAGTAGAGGTAGCACAGGCCTTTAATCCCAGCACTCTGGAGGCAAAGGCAGGCCGACCTCTTAGTTCAAGGCTAGCCTGGTCTACAGAGTGAATTCCAGGACAGCCATGGCTACACAAAACAATCCTGTCTTGAAAAACAAAACAAACAAACAAAAATTAGAAATGGGAAGGTATAAAATGGCAAGTTGAGAAAGCTTTTATACTACAAAGAGACATAATCATGGTACTTTGGTTTTAAGCCACTATACCTAGGAAATTTTTTTTTTTTTGATTTGTTATTCTGTGTTTGCGTAGCAGGGGTGTGCAGGTGTCAGCTGAGGCTAGAAGAGGGTATTTGGATCCCCGAAGCTGTCTCCACAAGCTGTTGTGAGATGTCCAGCATGGGTGCTGGGAATGAACTCAGGTCCTTTGGACCACACCTGTCACTTGTCACTGCTTTGAGAGGGTCTCATGGGCTTAGAACTCTTGGTTTTTCGAGACAGGAATTCACTGTGTAATCCAGGCTGACTTTGAACTCACAGAGATCCACCTGCCTCTGCCTCCCAAGTGCTGGGATTAAAAGTGTGCACCACCACCCCTGGCCTACAACTCTTACGTTAAGCTAGGAGCCCTTTAACTCCCCTTTTAGGGTAATGTATTAGAGTTCTCAAGGGTAACAATTTATAGAATATCTCTCTATATAGAAAGGGAGTTTATTAGAATGATTTACAGGCCACAGTCTGGCTAGTAGAACTCTGGCTGGCTGTGAATAGAAAGTCGAAGAATCCAGTGGTTGCTCAGTCCACAAGGCTGGATGTCTCAGATGCTCTTCAGTTTAGGCTGGAGCCTTGAAGAAGTAGGCTCTAATGCTAGTCTAGGAATGGGCTTGCTAGCAGGCACCGACATGCTGTCAAAGAGCAAAAGCTTCCTCCCTCCATGTCCTTATATAAGATTCCAGCAGAAACAGACCCAGATTAGATCTGGAAGATACTCTTCCCAGCTGGGCAGTGGTGGTGCACACCTTTGATCCCAGCACTCAAGGAGGCAAAGACAGGTAGATCTCTCTGAGTTTGAGGCCAGTTTGGTCTACAGAGTGAGTTCCAGAACATCCATGACTGCATAGAGAAACCCTGTCTCAAAACAACAAACACACAGCTTCCTAGTCTTTATTGTCGGGTGATAACTACCTGAATTACTAAAAAGCAGTTCCTATGATGTTTGGCTACCAGGATACGGTGGCACACACCTTTAACCTCATCACCCAGGAGACAATGGCAAGGAGATGAATTTGAAGCCAGTGAGTTCCAGGCTTGCCTGTGCTACTTAAGACCCTGTGTGTTAGACGGGCGGTGGTGGCACACACCTTTAATCCCAGCACTCGGGAGGCAGAGCCAGGCAGACCTCTGTGAGTTCGAGGCCAGCCTGGGCTACAGAAAGAGATCCAGGATAAACACCAAAACTACACAGAGAAACCCTGTCTCGAAGAAAAAAAAAAAAGCATGTAAAACCATATCTGGCATATCGATTATAATCCTTCCTTTCCAGTGGTTTCCTTAACATTTCCTCATTGTGTCCACGGTGGATCTCTGAGTTTGAAGCCATCTGAATCTATCTACATAGTGAGTTCCATAAAGAGACCCTTTCTCTCTCTTAAACACCCCCTCCACCCCCAACCCCCGCCAGCTGAGGACCGAATCCAGGGCCTTGCGCTTGCTAGGCAATCTCTCTACTACTAAGCTAAATCCCCAACCCCTAAGAGACCCTTTCTCAAAAACAAAACAAAAAAGTCAGAAGACAAACTGCTGGGATTTAACCATTAACTGAGCCATTCCCAATTTTAACCCTTCCAGTTTCCTTTTTCAGACACCTTTCAACATATAGGCCCTGTCAGTCCTAGAACTTAAGGACTTGCCTGCCTTTGCCTCCAGGGTGCTGGGAATACTGGTAAGGCATTAGTTTAAACCCAGTTTAGCCCTTCACTTTTTTTTTGGCGGGGGGGTTAAGACAGGGTCTCTCTGTGTAGTTTTGGTGCCTATCCTGGATCTCACTCTGTAGACCAGGCTGGCCTCAAACTCACAGAGATCCACCTGCCTCTGCCTCCCGAGGGCTGTGATTACAGGTGTGTGCTAACGCCACCCAGCAGCCCTTCACATTTTGAGATAGGATCTTGCTAAATTAACTAAGCACTATTCACCGACCTACAACTCCAGCTTGACTGAATGTTTCAAAAATGCAAATAAAAACCCTAATGGAATTTGACAGCTGAGCTAATGTCTCAAAATAAGAAAAAAGAACATTTTACAAATCTGTATTACCAGTTTATATGAACTCTGAGGGAATCTGGCTAATGTTTAGTTTACTTTCAGTGGTTTTAAGTTTGCAGAAAAATTGAGTAGGACTCATTATCCTGTCCCTCTACAGTCTCTCTCAATAAGCAGGTGTGGGGGCACACTGAACACCAGCACTAGAGGCTGAGGAAGGAGGATTACTCATAGAAAGAGCGCAGGAAAACCAAACCAAACATACACTACTCTGTAACAGAGGATGTGTGTAGTCATCCTTCAGCTTTTGCTCAAGTATTCATAGCTCAGCAGTGGTTCATATATAGTAACATTACTCAAGACCATCACAACTCGGCACTGAAGACTTGTCTAACAGACAATTTGAACGACTCAGGATGTAGTTCAGTTGGTAGAGTGCTTGCCTAGCATGCGCGCTCACACACACACACACACACACACACACACACACACACACACACACACACACACACACACAGAGGTGTAGTTGACATATACCGTAATCCCAGCATTTAGGAACTACGGCAAACTTACCACACATTGCCTTTGCAGTCTTAACAACGCTTGCATACTTTACCAAAGTTCCAGATTAAGTAGTCATTTTGGGATTACAAAACCAGTTAGGTGGCACACGCCTTTAATCCTAGCACTTGGGAGGCAGTCAGAGGCAGAAGGATCTGAAAGTTCAAAGTCAGCCTGGTCTACACAAGAGTTCCAGTACAGCCAGGGCTACAGAGAAAACTTCTAAAAACAGATACAAGGTGTTACTTCCTAACTGGATAGTCCTTCAGTTGATCATCACTTCCTTGAGTGACAGTCTTCCAACCTCTGTAAGCAACAGGAAAAGCTTGTTAAGAGGTAGATCAGCTGGACAGTGGTGGTGCACACATTCAGTCCTCCCAAGGGGCAGAAGCAGAAAGGCCAGCCTGGTCTGCAGTTTTCCAACAGCCAGAGCCACACAGAGAAATTGTTCCATTCCCACCACCACCACAATGACAAAAAAAAAAAAAAGAGAATAAACGCATTAACATTATGAGCAAATCCAAATTTATTTTAATGCCATGTCATTTCAGAAACCTCTTCAGTTAATGGGAGCCTTGGTTCCCTGGGACATCATGCCAGAGGTACAACTTGTAACCTTTCTTTACAAACCCCCAGAAAGTCATCAAGTCCACAGCTTCTGAAAGTCACTTCTCTTCAGTCTACTCCTCTGCTTCCTGGGTTTTCTTTCATGGGAGGGAACTCAAAATATTTCAAACAGGAAGCTGGGCGTGGTGGCGCACGCCTTTGGTTCCAGCACTCATGAAGCAGAGGCAGGCGGGTCTCTGAGGCCAGCCTGGTCTACAGAGTGAGTTCCAGGACAGCCAGAGCTACACAGTGAGACCCTGTCTCAAACCAAAAAAAAAAAAAAAATCAAATGGTGAACAACAAAAAACCCATTGGGATTTTCAATGTAGGTTCAAAGATGGAACATGAGGAAAAACCTACTGGTTCCAGAGGTTGGGGGGGGCGGGACGTGGACACATAAAACCAACAAAAACCGTGGTTGGGCATAATTACTGCTGTACAATTATGAAAATGGGCAGATGCAGGGACTCTGCAGGACAAAGATGACTACAAAGGTTTACAAATGAGAATCCATTTGATAGATGATAAGAATCTCTTCTTATCAGAGACTTCAGCATCAAAAATGGGAAGGGCCTAACCAGATAGATACATCATGAGGAATCTGCCACAGGTGAATAAAAAATACCAGTCTTCCTCCTTGAAGGCAGATTGAATACTCGGTGACAGTGGGAAACAGAAAAGGACATTGGTGACATAAACTTGAGCTGAGGTTTTAGTGGTGGTGGCTAATTTAGCCCCTTGGTTCTGTTGTAGGGCCACAAACCTTGACCAAGCAGAGTAGAAAAGGCCAGAAAGAGGGGCTTGAAGACGATGGATTTTGACTCCTGATTTTATTATTCAATTTCTTTTTCTACTGAAAGTAGTCTTCAGTGGCTTTCGGGAAGCCTGGCCTCCCAAGACCAGAGTCAGTTGGAGCTGGCTTTTCGTTGGAAAGAGTGGGTGAGTGAGTGGGTGGGGGGCTGGGATGAGGGCAGAAGACCCCGCTCTGCTGGTGGCTCGGGTGGAGAAGACAACTGCACTTCAGAGCCTGGGGTGCGGTGGGAAGGGGGAGGCAGGAGTGACGAGCTGGGGTACGGGACCCACCTCAGTCCCCAGCTTCATTCTCTTCTAGTGTTTCTCCACTGGTAGCATTTTCTGCAGTCTTGGAGGCCTACATTCCAAAAATAAACAAAGAAAGAAACAAAGAAAAAGACATCAATTCCTAACTCCTTTGGCACCAACTCCCAAGTAGCTTGAGGCAGAGAAGGGCGAGCTCATACCCCACCATTATCAGAAAAGGTCTCCCACCAGAAGATCATTACACACCTTCTTTTTCTTCTTTTTCTGGGTTTTTCGACTTGCAGAACTCTGGAGAAGAGCCTGGAAGACAGGAGGAAGGCAAACCCTGAGAAATGTGAGACAGACGAAATGCCCCACCTACTCTGGCAATTCTTTTCAGGACTTTCCATAGGTAAGTGCCCCATGTTCCCCATTTTCCATTCAACACTAACCTTTAGCTCTGCATCCTGGACTTCCATCTCAGACTTGTAGAGTTCAGGCTCAAAGGGACCACTGGTTATCCTCATGGGGCCATTGGGCATGAGGAGGACTGTAAATTTAAACTGGGCAACAAATTCACCTATGGGAAAACAAGAAATCCCAGCTACACTTAGTTCTTTTCTGAAGTTAAAGGGAGGGAAGCGTGTAACGGGGGGCTCTAAAATGAAACCCTTCTTAGGACTCACCCTCCTTCTCATAGAGAACATTAAATGGTTGTAGTAACTCATGTTTGGCACACTCTACCACACCCATTCGAGCCTTCTTCTCATCTTCAAATGCTCTGGGAAGAGAGACAGATTCAGATCTCCTTAACAACCCCCAGGTCATCAACACTTGTTTTATTAGTGTGACTGCAGGTGTGATGGGGCTGGGGGCAGGGCTGGGGTGCAGGGCTGGGGTGCAGGCCAGAGGACGACTTTCTGAAGCTGGTAGGTGGGTGTCAGGGGTGGAACTTAGGCTTGCAGTCTTGCACAGGCAACTGGGCCTGTTGTTGAAGACAGGTTCTTGCTCAATGTAGCTCAGGCTAACTTAAACTCTGCTTCCTGCCTCAGCCTCCACTGCGGAACCACGAGTATGTGCCACCATACTCAGCTACGCGTGTTTAAACCACTTCTACCCTCACACAGAAACCGTGTTTGGGGTTGCTCTTCTGTACTGTATTCAACAAGGAGATGGGCAGAAGAGGACGTGCATTCAGGCAGGAGCTACAAGTCTGGGCAGGAGGGAGGGAGGGAGGGAGGATGCTTCTGGGTGCACACACTGAGTCAGACTGGTTCCAGTCCTGTTGCTCTATGCAGTACCTTAAAGTAAACGGCATGGCATCAAAACGTCTCTCCACCTCACTGAAAAAGGCACGTGAAGTTTTCATTTTCAGGCCGTATTGTTTAGAGGGGTCGCGCTTGTAAATGGTGGTTCTCTGTCCTGCATCTTTGGCCTAAGAGAGTTGAGTCAGGTCAAATATGGTCTGGTGAGCACACCTTCAAGTCACCCCTTTGGCTAATTATCAAATTTTTACCTTGCCTTCTCCTGAGCTCACGAGGACATCCACAGCATAAACTTCATGTACCTCAAATTCAGCCTTTTCATGGTCCTTCCTAAAAGGAATGGAGGGAACCCTAAGAGTAAGCCAGACCTAAGGGTGCAAGCCTGTGCTCTCAGCACCAGGGCTAACAACTCCCCAAAAGAAAGATGCTTCATTAATTAAGAGCACATACTGCTCCTTAGAGGACCTGAGTTCAGTTCTCAGCACCCAAACCAGGTGGGCTTACCACTGCCTCCAGCTCTAGCTCCCAGGGGATTGATGCCTCTGGCTTCTAAGGGTACCTGCACTCATATTTAAAATCTGACAGCTAGTGCAGTATGGTAAAAGGCAAAGAACGGGGTGGCACCCACTTCTGCTGGTCTGTAGGATTCTGGATAATGGTTTTCTCTCCATCGATCACATGCTGCTTCAGTTGGTGTGAGAGCATACCTGTAGACAGGATAAAGCCCATGGTACCAGCTGTACAGCCCCCTAACAGCTTCCAGATCCACTCAGGTAAGGAGTTGATGGTGCAATTATGCCTGCCTGGCTATGGAAACGGCATAGAGAAGTTTCTGCCTTAGACAAAGCCAGAGCCAGGAGGGATCCTTAATTCTACCACACCACTCATGGTCAGACCTTTAACCCCATTATCTGAGATCTCACCTTCTATTGGCGTGCAATTAAATGAGTGAGCAACTTTGTTCCAGGCTTCTGTCACTTGTGTGTTCTAGAAGTACAAGAGTGAACAAAAGGTGAGATATCTGTATTTTCCAACTTATTCTCAACATCCCCTCATCAAGTGCCAGTGATTCTCATTCACAATCTTATCATTCCTATAAACTAAAACATTTATTTAAAAAATGCAGCCTAGGCCGGGCGGTGGTGGCGCACGCCTTTAATCCCAGCACTCGGGAGGCAGAGCCAGGCGGATCTCTGTGAGTTCGAGGCCAGCCTGGTCTCCAAAGCGAGTTCCAGGAAAGGCGCAAAGCTACACAGAGAAACCCTGTCTCGAAAAACCAAAAAAAAAAAAAAAAAAAAAAAAAAAATGCAGCCTGGCTATGGTGCCACATGTCTCTCAAGCCAGCTTGGTCTACAGAATGAATTCCAGGTCAGTCAGGGCTATACAGAGAAACCCTGTCTCAAAATAAAAACAAACAAAAAATTGCTCTCATAAAGATGATCCAAGTTGGGGCTAGAGAGATGGCTCAGGTTAAGAGCACTGGCTGCTCTTCCAGAGGTCCCAGTTCAATTCCCAGCAACCACATGGTGGCTCACAACCATCTGTAATGAGATCTGAGGCCCTCTTCTAGCATTCAGGAATACATGCAGACAGAACACTGTATACATAATAAATAAATCTTAAAAAAAAAAAAGATGATCCAAGTAGACAACAGTTCTTAAAGAACAGAGCAGATCTATATCCCAATCCAGAAGACAAGGAAACACGCTCAAAAAAAAAAAGTTAACTGCTTTGTCCTCCAAGGCTGACCAAGTATTCAGTAGAGAAACCTTGCCCCAAACCCCCATTTTCCAATTCAAGTCTAGAGTTTATTCCTTAGCATTCTACCCAATGGAGAACAAACAACAGAAACAATAAAGCTTATTTTTAATTTTTTTTCCAAGACAGGGTTTCTCTGTGCAGCTTTGCGCCTTTTCTGGATCTCGCTCTGTAGACCAGGCTGGCCTCAAACTCAGAGATCCGCCTGGCTCTGCCTCCCAAGTGCTGGGATTAAAGGCATGCGCCACCACCGCCCGCTCAAGACTACTCTTGACCAGGTGTGGTGGCATACACCTGTAATCTCGGGGGAGGAAGTTGGAATCAGTGACACCAGGGGGGAAAAAGATGACTTAAAAAGTTAGTACATAGACTGCATGATTCCACAGCTACAGACTAACCATCATGCAAAAAAACCAATAAAAATAACAAGTGTATAAAAGTAATAGCAAACTCTGAAGTCAATGTCATCATAAGGAAACAAGGGCAGACTTTTAAGGACAAAGTATGCAAGCAGTAACCATGAGGATGAAATATAAACTGAGTACAGGTGTGAGGAACAAGAGCACAAAAAAGGAAAAAAAGACAATGTCTTTAAGTTTTGAGCGGTTCTCTGAAAACTTAAAACTTCAGAGATAATGTTCACTGACAATCTAACATGCTTAACGTTAGCTATAAGAACTCTACCGGCTCTAGACTTCCTGAGTTTGGTCTCTTAGGCATGAATTCGCCTGCACTTTTGGTATCCTTTTTATGCAGTCTTAAAAAACTTGTTTCAAAAAAAACAAACAAACAAAAAACCACCTTGTTTCATTGTTAGTTACCTACCTCAAATATTTTGGGGTTAAAGTGCACATACAAAAAAAAAAAATCTGCCGGGCGGTGGTGGCGCACGCCTTTAATCCCAGCACTAGGGAGGCAGAGCCAGGCGGATCTCTGTGAGTTCGAGGCCAGCCTGGGCTACCAAGTGAGTTCCAGGAAAGGCGCAAAGCTACACAGAGAAACCCTGTCTCGAAAAACCAAAAAAAAAAAAAAAAAAAAACAAAAAAAAATCTAAAAATGGCCTTTATAGGCTCCATAGTAAGAAATTACATTGTCCTCAAATGAACTGTGGTAGATCTCAGTTTATTGCTGTTCCTAGGTGAGGCCTGATTCATCTTTACCTTTGCTTCTGTCAAGCTTTGCAACTGGAAGAAGAACCTCACCTGGTTTCCAGGCTTGACCAGTCGTAAGGCGGCTTCGGCACAAAGATGAGCTGCCTTAATGACATCTGCTTTCCGACCTGTTACGTGGGTCCCCTGTGGAGAAATATAACCAGCATCATCCTGAAAGCTCACTAATGTGTGTTTCTACGCAAGGTCAGCCAGTTACATGAGGTTCTCTAGATATCCTAAAACTATGTGGTACTACAGAGTGGAGATTAAAAAAAATAATAAATGGCAGTACATCCCCCTACCAAGACTGAACAAAGTCGAAAAGAATGCTACCTACCTGAGCTACACCAATTACAAAAGTGTGAGCCACATTAGCAATGAAGCCATCCACATGGACCCCAAGGTCACTAAAAGGCAAAACAGAATACTGCATTAGGAGCCAACATTGTGTCAATGTGTAGGAAAATGACAACTACTCTAGAATGGCTTAACCTTACATTTTTACCAAGTCACCTTCCTTGAGTATATAGTCCTGGTCACTCTTCAAAGGAGAGAAGTGGCACACACAGTTATTTACCGAAATGCTGGTAGGAAAGGCAATACCTGCAAAAAGAATCATCAACCTTACTGCCTTGCTCTGTCTCGGGAACACTTGTTGCCCTTTAGAAAAGGGAAGGGATTTTTATTTTAGGGGCTTGCTTAAACTTACTCAGTTTAGATTGGGAAGGAAACTATACCCATCCCGTTTGCTACTCCACATTTCCAAACATCTTAACCAGGGATGGGTGGAGTTACAGGGGGGTAACTGACTGAGTTACAGACCACTGGATGATGGGGTCAAATGGGAGAAATTAAGAAGGGAATTCTTTCCCCTTTACCTTTCTTCATTTCCTTTTCTTTCTTGAAGATTTTCCCTGTCTCTTCCATAATCATGGCATCACCTTTCTCGCACAGGCTCAGCACTGACACACCTGAGCTGGAAGCTTCCACCAAAGATCGAAGTACCCCTGGGGACAGAATCCCATCAGGTCAGCCTGCATGCATTTAATCATCTAATTGGACCTGAAGTTGAATTCATTTTTATAATACTCCCTAGTGCCATTGTCTTAGGCGGAAACTGTGTCCTAGTATAACCTATCCCCCTTCAATATCAACGTTTGTTTGTTTGTTTGTTTGTTTTGAGATATACCCCTGGCTGTCCTGAAACTCAGAGACCAGCCTGCCTTTGTCTCCCCACAAGTGCTGGCACTAAAAGAATGCACCACCATACCCAGCCTTACTTTCTACCTTCCTTTCCTAAAATAAAAGGTTAATGCTCACTTCTCTCCATTTGTCACCTAGACAGAAGGCCTTGCACCTTCCAAAGATGTTATGGTATACAAAACCATGAACATTAGGGAACTGTACCCAAGATACCCTGTATGCACAGGCAGAGCAGGGAAATTTATAGGCGTCAGGGACAATGGGAAGGTACACATAGAATTGCTGAGTCAAAGTTGAAGCATTGTTAAATGTTACCTTCTTTCCTGGACACTCTAATTAGGTGTTAGTAATCAAAATTTATGTAGATGCATTTCCCCATATACAAGTGTATAAGCCCAGGGGAATTAATCTAAGGCCTCAAAGATTCAGGGGACTCAAGGTTTAAACATGTGATCAGTTTCAAAACGATCATCTTAAGTCACAATTGCCTAAAGCTGTAAATTGTAGGGATGGAAAGTTTGTCTGATTTAAACCAATAACATCAAATACTAAAACATCACTCCAAATAGGAGTATTATTTTGTATATGTCCTCTTTATGACCCACGGGAATTCTAGGTTTGATTTCTTTCAGTGTTTTGGTTATTCTTTGGAATCCTGAAAAAAAAACCTCGGGTTTAACCAAAGGCATACCTTCTTCTATTTTGTCAAGACCATTTTAAAGCCCTAAGAGTTTCTATCTCCGGAAGTCGCCTTTAAAAATGGAAAGAAGAGTCGGGCGTGGTGACACACGCCTTTAATCCCAGCACTTGGGAACCAGAGATATGCAGATCTCTGAGGCCAGCCTGGTCTATAGGAGTACCAAGACAGGCAGGCAGGGAGGGCTGCACAGAAACCCTGTCTCGGGGGAAAGAGAAAACAAAGTTATCCGCCCGAGTGGCAGACAACTGCTGAAGAAGAGCAAAGCTCGAGTAAGAAATGCTTATGAGGATCCTAAAATCAGTGTTCCTCCCCGCCTCTTTCCAGCTGTGTGTCTAAGCAGAACACTGTCAAGCCTCTAAGAACAAGTATTAAAGGCCATTTCACAGGCTGGGGCAGCAGTCATTAACCTCTTCCAGAGCTGTGTGAGAGGCTCCAGACGTGCCCTCCAACGGTCCCTCGAGCCAGGCCAGGGGAGAAGGGGGCCCCCGCCAGGAAGACCTTAAGTAAAGACTTTTCAGCAAAGCACGTGGTGGGAAAGCACGGTAGTAGAGGAAGTGGGGAGCCAGCCGTCCGCACAGGGACCTGGCAACACGTGCCAGCCTGGCTCCCACGGGTCAAGACCCGCGACTGCCCGAGGGGCGCTTCTGTCGCCAACAGCTGGGAGCTTCCTTTTCGAGGTGGCCTCACTGCTGCCAGTCGGAGGAAGCAGAGATCCGGACAGACCGAAGGGTGATGGGCAGAAGACGGCGCGCCTTGCCTCCTTACCAACCGCCTAGGGTCGGAGCATGTCTGGGCCCCTCTCTGCGCTCCTCGCGGTCGCCGGCCCGCACCTCCACACTCTCCAGCCCAGGCATGGCTGCTCAGTCCCCGAGGCGACACCAGATCTCCCCACCACGTCGCCCCCGGTCGTCGGCACGCGCCCCTCGGTGGCTCACTCCGCAAGACCCAGCCGCTCCAGCCCCTCCGGAGACAGCCCCAAACCTCTCCCTCTCAGCCTCGATTCCGAGACCCCCGAGGCCGCACTCACGGTTGGCGATGTCGCCCCCCATCTTATACTTGGTCACGACCAGGTCCTCGGCGATAGTTTGCTCCTGCTGCTCGTCTTCGCCCGACATCTTCCTACCACCACTACTGCAGCTTCACTTTCCCTGAGCTGCGGCCTCCGTCTCCCTTCCCAGCCACAAGCTGTAGGCAGAGTCTCTTCGATCCGCGAGGAAAGCGCGAGCAAGCAAGGGAGCAGGAGGGCGGGCGGAGAGAGCGAGAAGCTGCGAGCGCGCGGGCTGAGGCGCAGGGCACACTGGGACAATGAGTCCGGCCGGCGGCCAGCCTCCAGTCGCCCTTGTGGGCGCGGGAACTACAATTCCCAGCCTGCTCCTCGCGCCCCTCCGCCAGGCCCTGGGGCCTTGCCCTCCCAGGTCTGCGCACGCCGGAATCGCCGGGCACGCTGGGAAGGGTTTGGCTCCGGCGGGAAGGCGGAGCCGTTGGGGAAAGCGTGGTCTCTCCGGGAAAAACCTCATTCACCGGAGAGCGGAGCCAGGACTCGTAACAGAGGGGGGCGGGCTAAGCGAGGCGGGGCGGAGCTACGCGGAGAAAAGGGTAGAGAGGCCGCTGGGCAGGGTGGAGCAGGGTGGAGCTGGAGGACCCGGGTCAGTGTTTGTACACCTAGGGCGGTTATCCCGTGCGTAGCCTTGGACTCCCGGGTAGGCAGGCGTGACCGGCCTGACTAGTCCAGTCCTCCTCCTCCTCCGCTGGGAGGGCGGGACGCGGCCGAGCGGAGGTGGAAGACTTAGGGCGCTGGAGCGGGCACTAACGACAGCCTGAGAGATTATTCATTTACCGTGACCTGCCGATCTGAGGCCAGACTTCCTACTGCACTAGGGTAAAATGGCGCTGTTGACCGACGGTAGGTTTGCATCTGAGCCAAGTGTTCAGGAGGTATTTGGTCACTCTCAAGAGAATGAGTTCCGAATCATTTCAAGCTTTCTGTATTCCACCTGTGTAGGAACACACACACAGCTTTGTGCTTTTTTGGCTTTTTAGTTTACACTTGGTACTTTGTAGCGATTCCCAGTAAAACCGGTTAATAAAAAGGACTAGAAACAGGGTCTGGAGAAATGGCTCAGCGGTTATAACCTGGTTTTTCTGCGGGGAGAGGGAGTTCCCAGCACCCATGCCAAGCAGTTTACAACCACCTGTAACTCCAGCGTTCTTGACCTCCTTGGGCACTGCATTCACCATCGCCAACCCCCACTCCTTCACATACGCATAATTAAAAATACAATTTAAATAAAGGTTTGGGAACTTTAGATAAGACATAGTAAGAACGTCAGGAGCAGAGAAAGCTACCCATTGCTAAGAAGCAAAGAAAAGGGACAGTCTCATGCACTTTTCAGTTGACAATAAAAAAACAAACTTTGGCATTTTTATTCAGACACGTATAAAAACAAAACAAAAAACTTTAATGGTACAAGAAGACATTTTTCCCCAGTTCCCATCCAGGAAGGCTGAGGTCTGAAGATGGATCCTCTTTCTATCCCACCAGAAGTTTCTCATTACTGGTTCAGAATAGCTCTTAAAATACGAGTCTCGGAACCTTTGTGAATTGGCTTGTAAGGAGTGTATATCACCTACAACATATGTGGGCTATGGCTTACACAAAAACGTCCAGTTGTTTGTCCTTCTGTGTTGTCTCCACCCCTTCCTGAGATGAGAAGCCAGGGTGCTGGAGGGAAACGTGGCCGTTGGCATTTGCTCCATTCAGTGCATTAACAAGGAGTCTGGTAGTTCACACTTACAGCCTTTGGGAGGCTGAGACAGGATTGCAGTTCAAGGCCATCCTGGGCTACGTAATTCCAGGCCAGTCTACAGAGTGAGACCCTGTTTCATACACACACACACACACACACACACACACACACACACACACACACACACACACGCGCGCCCCTTACAAGAGCTTGACATGGTACTCCCTGACACCTTATAGTAAAAGTACAAGCACTGGAATTGAAAGATTTTGAACCCTGGACCTGCTGCTTAATTTCTTCAAGGCTCAGTCCCCCATTATCTGAGGTTTTTCTGTCCACAGTTTTAGTAACCTGTGATCAACTACAATCTGAAAATGTTACATGACAAGTTCCTGAAATAAATAGTCCCTAAAATTTAAATTGTACACCATTACAACCATCCTTTTCTATCCCACTTGGTAGATGAATCATCTCTTTGCCTAGTGCATCCATACCAAATAACCTTAGTTATTAGTTAATAGCCCATTAGTCACCTAATAACCCACTTGTTATTAGACTGACTGACAGTGATATCATAGTACTTGTATTCAAATACCCTTATTTTACCTACAGATTGGCCCAGAATGCAAGAGTAGTAATGCTGGCAGTTCAGACATGCCAAAGAGAAGTGTTTTTCATTTGAGAAAAGGTGAAAGTTCTTGACTTCATATGAGGGAAAAAATCATATGGTAAGATTTATAATAGCAATTCCATGAAGTTATAAAAACAGACAAATTAGGATTACTTTTGCTGTGGCACTTCAAACTAAAAGAATTATGGCCATGATGAAAAGTTCTTAGGTAAGATGTAAAAGGCACTAAACTATAGCATTCAGTTTTGTACACCAACTAAAATATTTTTAAAAAAGAATTTTAGGCTGGGCGATGGTGGCACATGCCTTTAATCCCAGCACTCAGGAAGCAGAGGCAGGAGGATCTCTGAACTCGAGGCCAGCCTGGTCTACAGAGTGAGTTCCAGGACAGCCAGGACAACACAGAGAAACCCTGTCTTGAAAAAACAAAACCAAAACCAAACAAACAACAAAAACTACAGGATTCAGTACTATGCACAGACTCAGGGACCTATTGGCTATCTTGGAACTCTCAAGAGGACTCCTGTATTGGTAAAATAGGATCAGCTCTGCTTCACAAAAATTGTAGAGATTGTAATTGAGATAGTGCAGGCAGAGTTCAGCTGGACGATGCCTAGCTCATAGTAAATGTTTAATTCATAGTTATTGGTATCTACTCCTACCTTTAAGCTTCTCAACCTTTGCATAGGATTAAGAGTCTCATGAGCCAAAATTTTACTTTCCTCTCCTAGCTCTATTTCATCTCCTCTTCCTTAGGAGAGTCTGATGAGAAACGAAAGCAAAGTCTAACTCTAACAAGTAAGAGCCTGAGAGAAAGGGGCTTAGAGAGTGATCCTTCATATCTCCAGGGAGTCTCCCTGAGGAAGCTGAGGAATGGGCTTGGGAAAGTAGACAAATAGGAAAACCTTCTCTTCCCTGGGGCTGGGGACGAGAAGAAAGTGCACAGCTGACTACACAGCACAGGATTGTGTAAGGATGTGTTTACAAGTCTCCAAAGACTGGATGGCATTGTCCAGGACTGGAGAAATGGGAGTGGGACCTGGGGGAGGAGGGGGCGAGGAAGGGGTACCCTCAAGAGGCACCAGCTGCCATCAGATGCTCCCGGAGAGTCTCGGGAGCAGAGGTTAAGTTCTCTGGGCGTCAGCTTTGGGGAAAAGTCTGCTATGCCAGTAATCAGGGTTGTCGAAGGCAGAGTCGGTGGCTTCTAAACTACGCAGAGTTTTGAGGCGGGCATAGCGAACGTGGGGGGCATGATGGCCAGGCCCCTGGAAAGCTCGCATTTCTTCATACCCTTGTTCAGCTGCTGGGCAGGCCCCCATGGCTGCATAATCCCCCCCGGCACCACCCACACCCCGCCTACGGTTCATATACTCATAGTCCTCATCTGGAGTTGTGCCAGCAGAGGGCATGATGGCCATAGGATGGAGTGGGCAACTCTGCGTACTGCCCAGAGAGGCACTGAGGTCTGAGCCCACATCCATGTACTCATAACCCAGCTCCTCAAGGGAACCAGGCCTAGGAGGCCGCGGTGGGCTGCTCCTTCTCTTCCGGTTCATGTATTCATACTCCTCGTCTTCGTCGTCTTCTTCAGTACCCAGCACAGAACTGAGTCCTACTGAAGAAAGGGTACCTTCCCGGGAGGAGGGTGTACCTGTGGTTGAGAAAAATTTCAAGTATGTATAGAACTTCGGAGAAATAACCAGAAGGAATGGGGGTGGGTTAGAAAACAAATGACTAGGAGATATCAGAGAAGATGACAGAATTAAGGGGAGCTTGGAGAAAAAAAGATTAGAAGCTTTAAGGAAGAGGCTGGAGGAGAGCCAGTACCTTTGAGGTGTGTGTCTGGCATGACATAGCCATTGACATCCTCCTCCTCTAACCCTGGTGGGGACAGCGGGGTGACGGGGGTGAGCAGGCTGTGTCGCTGTGAATGGTAGGCACTGTCTCCACGTGGCCGAGGGCTGCGGCTGCGGCTCCGGCTTCTACACACCGATACTTTCTCTTGGAGTTCAGCCTCAGAGCCAGTCACATGGCCCTCTGAGGACTCTGATGCCAGACGTCCCCGTGGAATTGGGTGCAGAGAGATGGGACGGGGGCACTGTTCACTGCCCCCCAAAACTGCCGTATCCTAAGGAGGAAAGTAACAGGAGCAAGGAGAGTTAAACAGGTTTAGAAGGAGGTGCGGTTGTTCAGGGCCTCCTCTGCTGCAGGACGTTGATTAACCTTCAGGCCTTGAAGCGTCTCCCTCCACATTTCTATCAACACCTCCAAGCCCGCAAGACTCTCTGCCACCCCAGCTCTGGCAGCAGACCTTACCAGACAAGCCTCCCCGAGATTACTCTGGTTCATGGGCATGTATCCAGATGAGGGACTTAAAAGACTCTGGCTCTAGGATGAGAAAGGAAAGGAAAGGGTTAAAATGAAGGAAGAAATCAATTATCGTGGAAGCTGATGAATGGTGATTCTGAGTGGGCTCATGAGGGTTCATGGAGCAGAATCTTGTGCAGTTAGAAGGTATCCTACCCCACGTGGCCGGGGAAGCGTTCCCACTGGTAAGCTGAGGGCAGAACCCAGTGTGGTTGCCAGGCTGTCCTCCTCTGCCTCCAGGTCTAGGTCGAGGTCCAGTTCAGGCTCCAGTTCTACTTCTTCCAGCTCTTTGTTCGTCAGAGCAGAGGGCTCTGCCCCAGGAGGTATTCCAGGCCCGCTCTCTCTCTACAGGAGCAGACAATCGTTAAGGTGGATTCTAGTTCCAACCAGGTCTTCCTTTCTCTAAAAGACTTGACATCCTCTAGCCCCTACCCACCTTTATGACCAGATATCGTGGTGGGTCACGGGCCATCCTGGTGAACTCATTGGCTAGTTCTTTAAAGGTCGGGCGAATATTCTCATCAATCATCCAGCCTGGGGATGAGATGTAGAGGGTAGAGTCAGAAGGGAATAGAGCCGTGGAGGAGGAAGGAGGGGGAGCCAGACAAGGCAGGGGTCAGCAGACAACTCACACTTGACCATGACCATGTAGACGTCAATGGTGCAGATCTGGGGCTGTGCTAGCCGCTCCCCCTTCTCTAGCAGGTCTGGTATTTCAGCCAGTCTCAGCCCCGCATAGGGCTCTGCCCCGAAAGTCATCAACTCCCACACCGTAACACCTGATATAGGAAGAAATTAACTAGTAAGTATGAAAAATAGACACAGTCTGTTTAAAAGTAGTAAAGGGAAGGTAGCCTTTGCTTTAGTTAGTTAGGCGGATAGTTCCTCAGAGGAGGAGATACAAAGGACAGTGGGGGACTTGGGCTGGTGGTGACATGCGGGCAGCCAGGTGTGCTCACCGTAACTCCAGACATCACTCTGGTGTGTGTATTTCCCAAAGTGGATACACTCAAGGGCCATCCACTTAATTGGAGTCTGAAGATTAAAATTAAAGGTGCTACCAGTTAATCTTCATAAATTCTCTTACTGTCTTAAAACCCCAGGTTTTCCATTGTCCCTTGATTTCTTCCGTTCTCAGCTCCCACTCCCCGAATTGACCCTGACTCGCCTACTCATCTCAGAAAGAGCCCCCGTGAGTGACTGCATCCATGCTCACCCTGCCCGACCACCGCCCGACCCCTGTCACCTTACCTTGGCCTCACTGTATAGTAACTGCTTGTCTTCCGGTGGCAACAGGTCAGCCACACCAAAATCTGCCACCTGGACCTGACTCGGTGACTTGAGCAGCACATTCCGGAGAGCGAGGTCCCTGTGCACCATACTATGTTCCTCCAGGTAATACATACCCTAGAGGAGGAGGGGGCCAGTCACTGAGCAACAGGAGCTGCCCAGACCCTGAAGACCGTCCTCAGCACCTCCGACCCTGGATCTCCCGCCTCTGCCCTGACTTTCCCCGGTCCGGCAGGTGCTGTCATGGGCCTCCTCCAGACCCCTCTCACCTTGGCAATCTGTACTCCCCAGTTGAGCAGCAGCTGAGGCCCCAGGGCCCCACGGTGCTGTCTCACATAGTCAAGGAGGGAGCCCAGAGGCAAGTATTGTGTGACAAGCTGCAGAGATGATCCTGGGCATAGTCCCAGAAGCCGTACAATGTGGGCATGGTCTAGGCTACCAATGGCCAGCATATGCTGCAAAACATAAGAGGTATTAGCCAGGAAGTAACGTGTTCACATGCACTCCACAAAAAGCACACCCAACCCAGAGGTCCCTCTAACACGCAAGTCCCTCTAACATGCCTAACGTGGACCTAACACACTATCTGCCAACACAGGATCATATGTCTACATGCCAGGACACAACACTGCCTCTCTTCTAGCGGCAGATGGAATTGCCTCTTCCACTTACATCAGTCACAGATTGAAAACTTTGGCGCCCACTCTTGTCTTCGATGACTTTAATGCAGACTGGAATCTTGATGGATTCACCCTCAGGGATCCAAACCCCCTAGAAAGGTTGGGATGGACATGGAGTAAAAAATAATTCTTTTCCTGTCAGTCTTCTGCCAACACTCTTCTCCCATTCCCCCTCCATCTTTTTCCCACTTGTGCAGACTTCCTGTTTGTTCCTCACCTTGTGCACAGTTCCAAAGACACCAGAGCCCAACACTTTAAGCTTCCTCAGCTCCGTCTCTTTGAAGATTCTGGCCAAGACTTTGTTTGCTTTCTCGCTGGGGTCCAGAGGCTCGATGCTCTGAGGTGCGAACAGGAAGGAGGTGCTCAGAAAAGCCTACCCCCACAGTCCCAGTCCCACCTACTCCCCATCAGCAGATGCCGAGGGCGGCAGAGCCCAGAGCAGAGGGCAGGAAGAAACACTGTCTTTAGTCCTGGAAAGCATCATAGTCGAGGAACAGCGGGCCCTTCAGGAACACTAGGACTGAAGCAGCTGGTCTGACGAGAAGGACCCAGAGGGCTGGTTTTCCTCTGAGCAGCAGGAGGACAGGAGGTATGGTCTGCTCCACCTTTCCCACGAGGCTAGGCCTGGTTTTCTGTCCCTGTCTCCTCTCACTAAGAGGAGGGCTTACTGTGTAGGTCGGACTGGCCCCGCCTCGGCCTTCTAAGGGCTGGAGTTACTGCCATGTACCAAAATGATGGAGCTTTTCAAAGCTCTTCCACAGGCCACTCTACCCATCAGCCCGAAGTATGAATATTGTTTATATCTAAGTTACTTAAACCGAGGTTTCTTCAGAATCATGGCAAATGGCAAAAGCAAGATGAGAATACATGTTCCCACTTCTGGTGTGGACTCATGTGTACATGCATGTTTCTGGAATTGAACCCAGGTCCTTGCACATGTTAAGCAAGCATTCTGAGCTGTCTCCATCGCTCTACATTGTCCCCTTAAGGAAAGGGACTAAATTCCAGAGAGAGAAGAGGAGTAAGCGCCATCCTACCGCTTACCCTCAGATTGTAAGGGTGCCCCCAAAGTGAAGCTGATACTCACCTCACCCCGTTCCAAGTAGCGCCTCATAGCCCTTTTATTCTGAATCCTGCGTCCACGCCAGTAGAGAAAGGAGCCTCCCAGAATCAGGAGAGCCACAGGCAGTCCGACCATCCCAGCCATTGCCAGATGAGTTTTACTATGGGATATAGAAAAGGCCAGCACCCTAAGTTTACAGCAACTTCACAGATGTCATTTATATGGTGCAGACCTGAGTTAGCAATCACCTCTACTAATATCCATGAGCACTGAAGGAGCCAACCATATAGGAGACTTCCCTCTTGTAAGCTAGTGTAAGTTAATTTTAGGAAGGGAATGCCGGAAGCCACAATTCCTGAGCCCGTGATGCTGGACTGTGTATATAAAAGGAAAGAATGACCCTAGTGGATGGCTCCACACCCACATACGTATGCCTGGCACGAAATGGACTTGGGATTATTAATAGCAATAATGAAAAGGAGGACAGGGAATCAGGAAGGGGACAGGGAAAGGGCAGTAGGGGAGTCTGGAGAAAGGTAATGGTGGATTGGTATGATCAAAATACATTATATATATATGCACTAAATCTCCAAAGAATAAGTGACAAATATTTAAAGGGGGGGGAGTTGGAGAGATGGCTCAGTGGTTAAAAGCACTGGCTGATCTCGCAGAGGACTTGAGTTCAGTTCCCAGCACCCATATGGTGGCTCACAACCACCTGTAACTCCAGATACAGGGGATCTGACACCCTCTTCTGAGTATATTTGCACTGAACTGCACATACCCACACAAATACGTGTAATTAAAAATAAAATGTCTTTATCTGAAAAAAGAGGGGTGGGCCGGGCGGTGGTGGCCCACGCCTTTAATCCCAGCACTCGGGAGGCAGAGCCAGGTGGATCTCTGTGAGTTCGAGGCCAGCCTGGTCTACAGAGTGAGGTCCAGGATAGGCACCAAAACTACATGGAGAAACCTTGTCTCGGGGGAAAAAAAAAAGAGGGTGGTGGGTGGAGAGGAGGCTGAGACACTGGAGAGAGGCTCAGTGGTTAAGAGCTCTTACAGAGGACCCAGGTTTGGTTCCCAGAACCCACATCATGCCTCATAACCATCCATAACCGCAGATCCAGAGGAATCCCATGCCCTCTGCTGGCCTCCTTGAGCACCGGGCACACAAGGTGCACATACACACATTTCAGGCATTACTAATACATATAAAAAAATTTTTTTAAAAGGTAGGTATAGTGGTACAGGTCTTCAATCCCAGTATTTGGGAGGCAGAGGCAAGTGGATCTCTGTGAATTATAGGCCAGTCTGGTCTACACAGCAAGTTTCATGTCAGCCAAGGCTATATAGTGATACCTTGTCTGTCATAAAAACAAAATTATAAAATTATAAAAAATAGGGGCTGGAGAGATGACTCAGAGGTTAAGAGCACTGGCTGCTCTTCCAGAGGCCCTGAGTTCAATTCCCAGCACCCACATGGTGGCTCACAACCCTCTGTAAAGAGATCTGGTGCCCTCTTCTGGCTTGTACACACACACACACACACACACACACACACACACACACACACACACTTTGAAACTTTAAAAGAAGGGCAGAATGAGACACTGGAGAGAGGCTCAGTGTTTAAGAGCATTGGCTGCTCTTGTGAAGGACCTGAGTTCAAGTCCCAGCACCTACATGATGGGTCACAAGCATCCATAACTCCAGTTCCAAGACAGCCCATGCCCTCTTCTGGCCTCCAAGGAGACCAGGTAAGCAAGTCATGCAAAGACGTACACGCAGACAAAACAACCATACACATAACATACATAACATCTTTTAAAAGGCAGAATGAGCTGGTGCAGAATGACTAGCATGGATCTTCCCCAAACTTTCTCCCAAATATTCCTGGGTTCCGCAGTCTCCAACATCATCTTACCTCATTAATACCTCTGTTTGTCCCAAACAGTCCTGCGGTTCTGGTCCCTTACACCTAGGAAAGAAAACCACCCTCTCAGTAAGCAGACAGCAGAGGCTCGGGCCAGGAAGGTGGCTCGGGCCAGGAAGGTGGCTCAGCAGTGCAGGCCCTTGAGTCTGATCCCTGGGGAGCCACCGAGGGGACGGAGAGAATGCACTTCCCCACACTGTCATCTGACCTCCGTAAACCGTAGTACCCACGCACACACTGCCCCCATAGCTACAATAATAAACGTAATTATACAGCAATTAAAAAGACAGTAGAGACTCAACTCCCAAAGCCTTCATATATAAAAGCTTGTTTCAGAACAAGCCTACTGTGGCACCTCATCCTGGAGCCCCAAACCTAGTCCCCAAACAGAGGACACCCCACTCCCACCCTTCTTGGCAGTCTCCTCCTCCACCCCTGGCTCACTAGTGAGCCTCTCCTGAATGAAACTCCTGAGCTGAGGTCACTCCAGCTTCCCCTAACCACGGTATACTTTCATGGCGTGAGTTTCTTTTCCTCCAGTCCTTTATAGCTGGGAGTGAGTCTTAAGCAGCCAACCTTTTCTTCATGCTTCTCTGCTCACCCCGATTCTGTGTTCTCCTCTCTCCCTGGGCCCCTCCTTCCTCAGCCCGTCACTCACCCCTGGGTGCAGTTCTCATGGCAGGGCCGACATTCATTCTGAGCGTCTGGGTACTTGTAGATCGGACCCTTGGCACCTAGGATTCCATGGGGGCAGCTGTTCACACAGTGGGGCCCGTCTCGAAAATGGGCACATCGAGCACAAGCGTCAGAGCCCTGAGCAGAAGAGGACGTTTAGAATGAGATCTCAGGGTTAATCCCAGCCTTCCCCGTGAGGACCAGCCCATCCCTTCAGGATCCCAGGGCTGCTACTGTACCGGGCCATCGCATGTGCTGGCGCCCTCCATGGGTAGGCACTCGGGGTGGCAGGAGAAACACTCACCGTCGTGAGCGAACTCACGAGGTTCCCTGCAAGGGGTGACGGAAAGAGGGGTCACTTCCTGTAATGAGGACCTGCCACTTCATGCCCACCGAGGCACAGGACAGAAAGCTGTCTACAAAGTCAGGAGTGGTGGCTCACATCTGTAATCCCAGCACTTGGGAGGCTACGGCAGGAGGCTTTCCATGAGTTCAAGGCCTGCCTAGACGACAGAGTGTCTAATAAAAACAATAGAGGACCAGGTGTGGTAGCACACACATTTAATCTCAGTGCTCAGGAAGCAGAAGCAGGAAGATCTCTGGGTCCTGTCTGTCTCTCTGTCTGTCTGTGTCTCTCCCTTCCCGCCACTTGCTCACTTGCTCACTCAAGCCAGACATGGTGGCTCAGAGCTGTAATCCTGGCATTTGGAAGATTTAGGCAGAAGGATTTAAGGCTAGCCTGGGCTACAGAGCAAGTAGGCTATGGGGAAGAATGGGGGGGAGGGAGAGGGAGGAGGGAGGAGGGAGAGGGAAAGAGAAAGAAACATAGACTAAAGGTCATCAGCACCTGAGCTGATCCATCCTCCCCCCACCCCCACCCCCGGGCCTTCCTCCCACCCTCTTGGCCTTCTCCACACTGTACCCCTTCAGAAAGTTGCAGTGAGTCACACAGACACCTTCTCGGCTGTAATTTCGACAAGACAAGCACTGACCAGGGCCTGGGCCCCAGCATCCCCCAGAGGAGCACAGTGGATCACACACTTTACCCTCTGCCACTGGAAAAAAAAAAACAACAAAAAAACAGACCGGTTAGGAAAAGACCCAGGGCTCCCAGGAAGCCTTCTTCTGAACTCCTCCGTGTTGCCTCCGCCCTCACACCCACGTCTCACTGGTTCCATCTCTCAACCCTATCCCACTCTCGGGGTCCTCTCGCCTCCCAGACCGCCTGTTCTCACCCGGTAGGCCCTCTCTCTCACCACAGTCTCTTCGAGGCCGATTATACTTGATATCAAGCCTGTCGTCCGGAGGCCCCCGGAGCAGTCTGGTCCAGTTCAGAGAGTGGTGGTAGCAGAGCTGCTGATTGGCACTTATGTAGACTCGCCCAGCGCTGATCTCCTTCAGGGACCGGAGGCCCAGTGACGTGACATTCAAGTTCTTCATGATCAACAAGGAGAAGCCCCGGCTGGAACGAGGGGGGAGAATTAGAGGGCAGACAACAAAGGGAAAACTAGACATACAGGGGATTTATTTTCACTCATCAAATTTGCTCCAGGTTAAATTAGAGCCATGGCAAGGGAATCCCCTCTTTTATCAGACGTGTTTTCTGAGACAGGTCTTACTGCATTTCTGAGGCAGGTCTGGAATTCACTGTGTAGCCCAAACTGGTCTTGAACTTGCTGTGAGCCTCCTGAGTCAGTCTCCCCAGTGTTAAGATCACAATACCACATTTGGTTTTCCCCGTCCCTTTTTGCCTTGACTCCATCATGTTAGCAGACTACCGGGGCCTCTTGGTTGAGAAATGCACTGTATTTCATAAGAAGAGCCCATCTCAGTGTCTGGAGACGATACCACCTCCACACCCTTACTCACTTGTAGAGGCTTCTGCCCCCGATGGTTGTCAGGTTGGAAAAAACACTGAAGTTGTGCATGTGAGGAGGCCAGGACTGGATGTTTAGGTACCCTGAAGGGTTGGAGAGAAGCATATAAGCAGGAGGTCTTCTCTCCGTCAGATTCCCTGTCACCTGCCTCACTGTGCTTTGGAGTGTGACTCTTCCTAAGTGGTTTAACTGTGATGCATGCCGGTGGGTCATTTGCTCCTTCTAGCCAGGGAAACCATTCTTCTTCCTCACCTGTGATCTCCCGTACTGTCCTGAAAACGTTGAGCTTCTCTGGGTCCAGTGCAGGGATCTTGTGCCAGGGGTCTCTGGGGGATGGGGGGAACAGTAAAAACTTCTCAACAGCCGGGCACAGTGGCGCACACCTTTAATCCCAGCACTCGGGAGGCAGAGCCAGGCGGATCTCTGTGAGTTCGAGGCCAGCCTGGGCTACAGAGTGAGATCCAGGAAAGGCGCAAAGCTACACAGAGAAACCCTGTCTCGAAAAACCAAAAAACAAACAAACAAACAAAAATCCAAACTTCAACAAAGTAGAGGTATGGCACTCAGTGGTAATAAACACACCATACTCCAACCCATGGTTTCTAGATGTCATTTCCCCCAGTACTGGGATCAAACCCAGGGCTTTAAATACGCTGTTGTACTGTAACCAGCCTCTTGGCTCCAAAATCAGAGTCTTCATCTAAAGGAAACAGAACTCCTTGGAGAGATGCTGGTGGTGGGGGGAATATAAATACATGTGCCTGGAGCATCTCACGTCAAAAAAGAAAAGAAATGCCCCAAGGCTGTTCACAACTGTCTATACCTCCAGCTCCAAAGAGTCAGATGCCCTCTTCTGGTCTCCTCAGGCACTTCATGCACACAGTGCACGGACATGCATGCAGGCAAAACACCCACACACATAAAAAATAAACAAACTAGGACAGAGGTGATAGCACACACCTGAAACCTCAACACTAATTCTTGAGAGGCTGAACAGGGGTGACAAGATCAAGGCCAAACTGGGCTACAAATGGAGACCTTATCTCATTCGAAACAAAACTGAGGTAAGGGGTGTGTGTACCTGTGTGTACAGGGAGGAAAAGAGAGAAATGATTTTTTAAAAAATGCTCAAAAAACAAAACAAAAAAGTAGCTGGGCAGTGGTGACACACGCCTTTAATCTCAGCATTTGCGAGGCAGAGGCAGGCGGATCTCTGTGAGTTTGAGGCCAGCCTGGTCTACAGAGTGAGTTCTAGGACAGCCAGGGCTACACAGAGAAACCCTGTCTTGAAGAAACAAACAAACAATCAAACAAACAAACACCACTAGCTGCTCTTGCAGAAGGCCTGGGTTTGATCCTTAGCCACTGTCTATAACTCCAGTTCCAGGGGATTCAACACCCTCTTCAGAGCTCTGTGGGCACCAGGTGCATGCATTGGTGCAGAGACATACATGCAGGTTAAATACTCATAAAATAAAACAATAGTGTTAAAAAATGAAGATAGACAATGTTTTCATTATTTTTAGTCGTGTGTGTGTGTGTGTGTGTGTGTGTGTGTGTGTGTGTGTGTGTTTGCCAACACGCACGTGCACCCACTGAGGCTAGGGGCATCAGATCCTCCGGGAGCTGGTGTTACAGAGAGCTTTGAACCTGTGGAGGAGCAGTATGTGATCTTAGCCACTATGCTGTCTCTCCAGCTTCCTTTTATTTAAATTTAAGGAAGAACTTCTAGAAGACTTGAGCTGGTCTACACACTGGTCTACACTGTCCCTGTACCATATCATTCCTCAGGGTTATACTCTGTTGCTTAGGGATGCCCTTGAGGGACGCAAGCTCCAGGTAGAAGGTGGAGTTATGCATTCTCTCCCGTCCTTTGTAGCTCCTGAGATTTCATGCTTACATTTCTAGTCAGATGCAATGGAAAGATTTAAGCCATTGAAACGGGTCGTGTGGTGGATGTGTGGTGGATGGGGCTGGTGGTCAGGGTGGGAAAGCAGTCTCTTACCCGTTGAGGCCAGTGATAAGGAAGTCCAGGTTGCCCAGGATCTTGGTGCAGTTCACAAACCCATCAATGTTGCTAGAGTCCACAGTCTGGAAGCGGCTTCCAGAGCCCGTCCCCTCACAGGCTGCAAACACGGAACATTCTCAGTGCTGGGTTCTGGGTCACCTCAGAAAAGGCTGGGTATAATTTCTCACTGCGTCCTGCTCACCTTTAGGGCACAACCCTCCACAAGGCTCACAAATCTTGAGTCCATTTTTATCTACTTCCATCTTGTCAGGAGGGCAAGCCCTGACACAAGATGTCTGATCCACCACAAAGTTATCTAGGAAAGAGGAGGTCACCATCAGATGTGAATAACACTGCCAGCTGCGAAGACTCTTCACCTGTTTCCCCTCCTCTTCACCCCTCCTCCCTCTTCTCTGCATTAGATTTGCCCCAGCTACAGCCCCAGGGTTCCTCAGGTCTGTCCTCTAGATTAGCCATCTCTTTGTTCTTCTTTTTTTTTTTTTAAAGATTTATTATTTATTTATTATGTATACAGTATTCTGCCTACATGCATGCTTGCAGATCAGAAGAGGGCGCCAGATCTCATTACAAGTGGTTGTGAGCCATCATGTGGTTGCTGGGAATTGAACTCAGGACCTCTGGAAGAACAGCCAGTGCTCTTAACCTCTGAGCCATCTCTCTAGCCCCCATCTCTTTGTTCTTAAGATGGCCTCAAGGTGCTGGAGGGATGGCTCATCGGGTTAAGAGCACTGGCTGCTCTTCCAGAGGTCCTGAGTTCAATTCCCAGAACCCACACGGTGGTTCACAACCATCTTTAACAGAGTCTCATGAGATCCAGTGCCCTCCACTGCTGTGAAATTTTGCATACAGACAAAACACCCATATACATAGAGTACATAATAAATCTTAAAAAAAAAAAAAAAAACATGGCCTCAAACCCTTTTTTAGAAAAAGATTTATACACACACACACACACACACACACACACACACACACACACACACACACACACACATATATTGGTTTTTTGAGACAGGGTTTCTTGCCGGGCGGTGGTGGCGCACGCCTTTAATCCCAGCACTCGGGAGGCAGAGGCAGGTGGATCTCTGTGAGTTTGAGGCCAGCCTGGGCTACCAAGTGAGTCCCAGGAAAGGCGCAAAGCTACACAGAGAAACCCTGTCTCGAAAAACCAAAAAAATAAAAAAAAAAAAAAAAAGAGAGAGAGAGACAGGGTTTCTCTGTGTAACTTTGGCACCTTTCCTGGAACTCATTCTGTAGCCCAGGCTACCCTTTAACTCACAGAGATCCGCCTGCCTCTGCCTCCTGAGTGCTGGGATCAAAGGCATGCACCACCACCGCCCGGCTAATTATATATTTTTAAGATTTATTTTTGTTATGTTTAATTACGTGTATGTGCATCTGTCTGTGTGTGTACAGGTGCCCTTGAAGGTCAGAGGCATCAGATACCCCTGTGTGGGCGCTGGGAATCAAACTCAGGTCTTTCGGAAGAACAGCAAGTGCTCTTAACCACTGAGCCATCTCTCCAGCCTCCTATTTATTTTATGTGTATATATAAGTGCCTGTATGTATGTATGTGTACCCCATTTGTGCCTGGCACCCAAGGAGTCCAGAAGAGGATGTCAGATCCCCTAGAACTAGAACTGTGATATGGGTATTAAGAGCTGAGTCCTTTGGAAGGGCAGCAACTGTTCTCAACTGCTGAGCCATGTTTCTAGCCCTGGCATCAAACTCCTCATGTAGCTGAGGATGGCCACGAGCTTCTGATGCTCCTGTCTGTGTCTCCGAGCACTGGGATTACAGCACACGGTCCCTCCCAGTTTATGTGGTTTTGGGGCTTTCAAACCCAGGGCTTTGGGCACACTAGGCAAGCACTCTGTCAGCTAAGCTATGTTCACAGCCCCCTTTGCTCCTGGTGGTTCCAAGCGGCCCCAGCCAGCCTGGAGGAAGCAGTCAGGGGCACTGGCATAGACTGTCACTCACTGGTAAAGTCACATGATCACATCAAGTTAGTTAACATCTAACTTGCTCCCTTTCGCATCCCAAACTTTTGTGGAGAATCTTGGGTCCACGATCACTGTCCCTTCCCCTCAAACACTCACGGGGACAGCTGGCAACACAGACGCCTCCGTACTGGTACTTGGTGTGGGGGTTGGGTTCCAGCTGGAACGTTAGCTTGTTGTACACAAGAGGCTGCGGACACCGGGGCACACAAGCTCCACTGTCATTGAAGTGTCGGCAGGCCTGGGAATGAAAACGATTCCTAAAATTTATATCTTCTAAATACCCCTACTCCTCCCCAAAGCCTGTACCCCCATTCCAGAGCACAGGCAGACGGCACCACTACGTACAAAGCAATCTGTGTCCTGGGGTCCCGAGCAGCCCCCTGCACACTCGTCATGGCAGCACTGGTTGGGGTTGGGCCCAAAGCAATGACCGTTACACTGAGGAGCACAGATGGTCTTGGTCACTATGAAAAGAGTATGACAGTCAGCCTAAATTCAGAGGCCGCCGCTCATTTTGACTGTTAGGCTTGACACAGGCAGATTGCATAGGGAGGGGTACGAGAGGGTGTGAGCTTTAACTCTGTAGAAGGAAATTCAAACCCACATATCTGGCAGTCTTCTGGTCCAGGCCCCCAGCATCGCCCCTTGCAGACCTCATGACAGGGTGGACCTAGATGGGAAGCAGGGCCATCAGGGCTGAGAAAGGCTTGCTTGAATCAACAGAGTATGATGTCAGCACACAAGCACCTCAATCCCAGGAAGCAAGAGCCCTGGGCTGTGTCCCTCCCTGCCCTTGGAGAGCAGGGCTGGGCTCTAGTGAACCTGTCAACAAGGGGTGGAGCCACTCCCCCACACTACCCACTGGGCAGCTGAAGGGGAGGGACTGGGTCAGATGCCAACCTCAGCCCCGGTGCCATCCCAGGAACTTGGTTCCTCCCAGACAAACAGATTCTGTGCCTGGGTGAACAGGAGCAGTAGACTAGGTCAGGGCAGCAGGGAGATGTCATATTGGCAAGAGCAATCGGGGTTAGTCCAGATCTGGTCTCCCTGCTTAGCATCCAGACAACTTTGGCCTCTTTTCTGGATACACTGGTTTGGATTCCAAGAGACTGACCTGGTCCTTCCTGGCAGGCAGGCTCTTGGGTCAAGGGCCTAGGGTAACTGTCTGGGGAAGGTGGGTTCAGATAAAGGATCCAGTAGGGATGGGAAAGGAGTCACTCTGGTTTGCTGGGGCAACGGGAACCAGCTTGATCACCACCACTTACAGTTTCTACCATTGTTCTTCACCACAATGTCAGCCCCTTGGACCCTCACGATGTCCTTCCAGTCAATTGTGTCCATATGGCAAAGTCTGTCGTTCTTCTCAATATAAACACCCCCGGACAGAATCTCTGTAGTGGGAAGAAAAGTGACGGGCTGAAGACCACAGCACAACTCCTCTTCTGTACTTTCCTACCCATCCCAAGGACACTCAGATCCTGGGGGTGGGGAGTGGGAGTGGGGGAGTCATGGGACCACATGGTGGTCCAGTCAGACTCAGGCTTCAGGAAAAGCTGGCCCTAGGAGAGGAGGAGTCAGAAACTCCTGCCTCTCCAGACACCTGTCTAGATCTGGTTTAGCCAGTGGGGGAGGGGCAGAGAAAGCAGGACAGGACATCCTGAGTCAATCCCCTAGGCTTACCTGAGTGTTCTCCAAGCAACTGGGACAGGGAGAGCAGAGGGTTCCCAGGTGGTGCGTAACCCCCTGCTCTCTTCCAGCTGGCCGGGGCAAAGGGAAGACTCCAGGGAAGGAGGGATGTCAAGTGATGCTTGCACTTCAAAGTTGGAGGAATGGGCAACAGATCCAACTCCCAGTCCCGCCCCACAGACAGTAAGGTTCCCCCCTCCCTGGAGCAGACGCCCCCAGCTCCCTCCTGGGGCCCTCTACTGCTTAAAGGACGGAGGACGTGGAGACCACCAAGGTAGTGGGCAGCTAAAATGAGCTCAGAGTGAGCCATCTTGGGTCATCCTCCAGGGCTTGCCTGTCAGCAGGGAGGCTCGGAGGGCAAAACCAGAGGGAATCCTCGGACACTAACCAGTCAGCTGAGTGAAGCGGAGCTGGCGCAGAGCGTGGCTGGAGTTGGTGTTATAATTCAACATGACAAAGATGGCAAACTTTCCATCGTAGACCTGGGTTCCCCGTACCACGCGGAGGTTAGGCAAGGGTAGTGTAGAGAATTCGTTCATGGCCACGAGGACGTAGCCCGTCACCTCTCGGATCCACTGTGATAGAACAGGTCATGTCAGTGAATGGACAACGAGGTGAGGCCTCAGGCTTCCTCTCCTTTAAGACACTGAGGAAGGGAACCCTTAACTCATTTTATTATTACTACTATTTTAATGTTAGGCAAGTGCTCTACCACGGAGACACGGTGACCCTCTAACCCCAGTCCTGAACTCACTGGTCTTGAACTCCTGGGCTCCATCAAGCATTGTCCCACCCCAGCTTCCTCAGCAGATGAGTTTCCTCAGGTGCATGTCACTGTACCCAGCCTCCCTAGGGACTGATCCCAGGACCTCATGCGTGTTCTGACAGCACCCTGCCACTGAGCTATAACCCCAGCTCTGAATTCTCTCTAGTTCCTAATTTGTAGGGAGTATGCTGTCACACTACTGTGCCACTTTTGTGAACAAACAGCCACAGAAATGACTAAGGACCTCATTTCCTATCTATATTTCTTCTCAGAGTCACTCATAAGAGGAAGGCTCTGGCTTAGTCCCTCCCTCATCTCTCCAGGTGCCTCTGGGTCCTTCGGCTTACTGTTGTAGAATACTATTTTCAGATTTGTTTGTGTTGCATTTGTTTAACTCTGTGAAGCTGTGTTACTGTGCCTGTCTAAAACACCTGATGTTCTAATAAAGAACTGAACGGCCAATATCGAGACAGGAGGAAGGACAGGCGGGGCTGGCAGGCAGAGAGAATATGTAGAAGGAGAAATCTGGGAGGAGAGATCTAGAAACAAGAGAGGAAGGAGGAAGACCATCAGGAGCCAGCCACCCGGCTACACAGCCAGGCACAGAGTAAGAGTAAGATTTACAGAAGTAAGAGAACAGGGAAAGCCCAGAGGCAAAAGGTAGATGGGATAGTTTAAGTTAAGGAAAGCTGGCCAGAAACTAAGCCAAGCTAAGGCTGGGCATTCATAATTAACCGTGAGCCTCCGTGTGTGGATTTATTTGGGAGCTGGGTGGTAGGCATCCCCTACAGAGCCAAAGACTAACAACAGCTTACTATACAGTTCTTTTTACCAGAACACCACCTGTTCTGTCCCTTTCTCGTGGCCAGCGTCTACATATCCCTGGTTATGGGACCAGAACCTCCCCTCCCCCATTATAGTCACTGTCCTCCTAGGTACACAGGTTTGAGCCTTAGGAGCTACTGAGTCTTAGGAATGCTAAATGCAGCAGAGGGTGGTCCTGAGAGAGAGGGAAAGGTAAGAGGAACCGAGAGGGGAGAGGCTGAGGGAGGGGCTGTGCATGCTCACCTGCAGGAAGGAAAGGTCGGCGTTGTGTCCCGTGAGCACAATCTCAAGGTTGCCCATCACCACCTCGCACCTCTCGTACAGCTTGTACAGGGTCTGGTACTGGTTCTCAGCATCACCAGTCACACTCAGCCCATTCAGAGTCCCAGGACACACTGTAAAAATGGAGGTAGGATAGGTAAGCTAGATGTCCCTCTGTGAAAGCCCCTCAGTGGCCCTCAGTTACATTCAGTTGCCTCTAACCCTGCCCACTAGGCCTCCAAGGCTGGGGCCTCCTCACTTCTCTTGCTCTCCTCACCAGAGTCCCCACTGTGCCTCTTTTCAGGTTCTAATTTGGGCAAAGAGGGGTTAATACAGAAGGAAGACATCAGGGGACTTTTCCTCTCCCTAGAAAGGACACGTTAGGCAGGGATCAAACTTTGATTACCCACTCCTCCTCAACTAAGGCACTTACTTCTCTGCCCCCATCCTGCCTCTCTAGGCCCTGGAATAAACATCTCTTTGGGGCTAGCACACAGCCCCTATTGTGTCTACGGAGGGTGGGATGGGGGCAGAGGATGGGGGCAGTGCCTGGGGCCACAGTTCAGCCCACAATGAGGCGATTCTATCCAGGAGGAGGGGGCTGCCCCACCCTACCCCAGACACCCCATCCTTAGCAGCACCCCCCTCTTACCCTGGAGCTTTGGGCTCAGACAAGTGACCTCACTGGAGGGAGAAACCCTGGTAGTAGGGTGGGGGTCAATGGGAGCTTTGTCTCTGAAGCTGGATAAGGAGCTGGCGGCCTCCCCCTTCCTGAACTCTGGTTTCCCTTCCACTAAGCCAACATGCTCCAGCTCCCCCAGCATCCCTGTGCAGCTCTGGAGAGAAACAGAACAGACTCTCCACTACAAAGCCTTCTTCCCAAATTCACTGTCAGAGGGATTCATTAAAAAGACTTCTAACTGTGGGCAATGCTCTCCAGCAGGCACTCCAGGGGAGAGCCCAGAAGAGTGGCCAGTACACTTCAGTCTTGGCCTTCCACTTTTCCCTTGTAAAAGGGGAGGGCAACGGGCTATAGGAAGTCTTGGCCCTTGGAGTTCTAAGTCTCTTCCCTCCGACACAGAGAAAGGAAAGCACATGGAGAGGGCGGGGGGGGGGGGGGGGGGGGGGGGGGGGGGGGGGGTGAGGGGTACGAACCACCTGTTCTAACCACCCTTCCCTGGGGCGGGGCAGGAGCGCAGCATGGGAGGGTCAGAGGCCCCAGCTTCCCCGACACCCCTCTAGTCTTCCCCTTCTCTAGACCCTCTTCCCTATCTCCAGGATGGAAAGAGTGGGTCAATCCCGCAAGGAGGCATAAACAGGCTAGGAGCTCCCAGGGGCACCTGGGAACCCCAGGGTCCTTGGGCTGAAGTGGAAGACTAGTTAGTCATTTCTGAAACAGCCACACCCCCTGTCCCCTTCCCGGCAGGACACCCCTCTTCCACGTTAAGGTGCCAACCCTTCTTCCCCAGATAAGGGAGGAGCTAGGATCTCCGTACAGGGAAGTGATGTGTAGGTGCGCGGTCACACCGCGGCTTGCGACTGGCACACAACCACGTACACGGTTGGTTCCCCTGCCTCAGAAACATGTATTGGTCTTCCCCTGGGCTCCATCCTGGGAAGCGTTACAAGTGGCCAGTCCATCCCACCTGCTCACAGTACCTTGTACACTTTGTGTCTTATGCTTTGCAAGACCTTGCAGGTCTCAGTTACCTGCCACCCTGAGGGTAAAGTCCACATTTTACAAACAGGGGCAAAGGGCCGGGGCAGGACAGCAGTATAAACAACCCACAGGAGGAACCAGGCAACTCTGGGACCTGGGCAAGGCAGCTGGGGGAACTGCCTGTGCGCGGGACCTGAACTCAAAGAGGAGTGATTCAGAGCCCTTCTTATGCAGAGAGCACTGACTAGGGTTGGACAGAGCAAGAACATCCAGCCCCTCAGGAGCCTCCCCTCCACTTTGCCCCAGCCACACACACACACACGTGGACAAAGGGGCTATACAAGGCTTGAGACGGGCCGGATGCCCAGAGGCTGCAGGATAGAGATAAAGGGGAGAGAGAGACCCGACCACGCTTGCTCTCTGCCTCTTAGGGAGGGTAGTGGGAATCCCGGACTCCTGGGTTCCTGGTTAAGGGGGCGCGGGGGGGGGGGGGGGGGAACGACAGTCAGATGGAAGAGTGATCCAGTCACTCCCTGGCCCTTCCCACTCCAGTCTCCAGACCACCCCCTCTACCAGCTGGGAGTGTTCACATCTCAAGATCCCAGGGGCTAAATTTAGGACCAGCAACTGTGGGTAAGCACAGGTGGTCTCTCCCACTCCCACTCTGGGGAAGGGGCCCTGGCTGTACCCTAAGCTGAGACCTGGGGGCGGGGGAAGGAGCGAGATCAGTGGGACTTAATTACACCAACTCCAGAACTCTTCAGGTGTCCACGGTCCCAGAGATGCCCACAGGAATGGGCTCAGATGGCGTGGAATAGGAGGCACAGAGAAGCACAGTCTGGGCTCTGTCTGAAGTTAGACAATAAATTGAATGGGGGCAGGGCAGAAGTTGGGTCTAGGAGCGAGTTCACGGAATAGAATGTTCAGAAGGTGGGAGAGGTGACCTCAGATGGGAGAGAGAAACAGGTCTAATTGTCCTTTCCCCCACACCTCCAGCTCAGGGTATATATCCCGGGAATAGTATAGTATATAGCAGATGCTCAACATGTTAGTTGAATAGACCTGGGTATTGGTAAAGAGAAGTTGTTAACTCGGGGACCAGCTTATCTTGTGGGAAGGCAGGCGGGCAGCCTCCGTGAGGCCTCTCTGATGTCACCTGGACTTGGCCCTCAGGTTAATCTCAACCTTCTCAGGACAACCCCGCTCACGGAAGAGGAGGTGCCATTCTTGTTTTTCCAACATCAGAAAACAACAACTTCCAACCCTTGCCTAGCTCCGCCCTGTCGGCAAAACAACGAAACTGGGGGGTTGCTGAAACCTGGGGTGGGGTGGGGGCCAGGGAACCCGAGAGCAAACGGAGACCCTTCGAGCCAAGGCTCCTCAGGTTTACAGAAAGGTCCCTGCCCGCCCTCTCTGCAAGGCTCTCAAAACTCCTGTTCACATCAACCTGATCAGAAAAAAAGACCCATCAGAGGGTCAGCGACGCCCTGGGGAGAAGGGTGGGCATCCAGGAATGCAGTCCCTGCCCAGCCCACTCCGAGAACCGAGCCACGGGGTCCCCTTTCGGGCGGCTCCTGTAAACTCGGGGTCGCACCCCCCAGTTCAGCGCGTCGGAACCCGAACCCCTGGCCCAGGGTCTGCGCGCGCTCAGGTCGCGCTCTCCGCTTCCAGGCTGCCGGGGCTCCCCGCGCCGCTTACCTGCCTGAGAGCTGCCCATCTCGGAACCCCGGGCCAGGCTGAGAAGGAAGCCCAGCACCTGCAGCGTCCCCATCGCCCTCATGATTCCAGCGGAGGGTGAAGGGAGTCCCAGCCGAGTCTGGCCCGGGGGGGGGCCCTGGATTAGGAGGACATCGAAGCGACAGCCACCTGAGCAGCCCGCGGGAATCGGTGGGGCGGCGGCGGCGGCCGCGGAGGTTGCAATCTGCAACTGGAGCCGGGAGTCGGAGTCCGGAGCGGGACGGCAGGGGAGGGTGTCTGTCTGGGAGGGAGGGAGGGAGGGAGGGATCGAGGGAGGGAATGAGGGGGAAGGGGGTGTGAGTCACGGCCGCGCCCCCTCCCGTGCGAGGCTGGAGTGGCGGTGGTTGTGAGCCTGGGACACCCGCCCGGAGCGAGCTCGCCCGCCCCGCCAGCCCGCGGCTTGCTTGGCCGAGAGGGTCAAGGAGGGGTCTCTCTCTCCAGCAATTTCCCCCGGAGATGGCTAAGAGGAGATCAAGACTCCAAATGTCCCCAGGCCGGGGGAAAGGTGGTGAGCGCGGGTGGGGAGCGCGCCCAAGCCCAGCCCCCTGGAAGCTGGCCTCGCCCCCTAACCAAATCACTCAACTCCCCGAGCCGGTTGGATCACTTGAGGGATTTTGTTTTTTTTCCTTTGCGAGTGTGAATATTTCTATTTTTTTTGAGTGGGAGGTTGTTTTTGAGCCGAGGCCGTTCATGCCACCTCAGTTTCCCCGGGACGTAAAGCCCCCCTATAACATAACTCATGCATCCGGCCCGGGAACCCGAGCCCCGGAGGCCGCGTGAAATCGCACTGTCTCCGGCCGCCGCTTCCTCCCGCAGACCCGGCGCCGGCCCGGCCTCTCGGGGGGATTTGCCCAGGGGGGCGGGGGTGGTTTCCAGCCTGGGAACAGACCTTCCCTCCCCGGAGCCCGCCTTGCCCGTCTGCCCTGGGAGGGGCTCCCGCACCTGTCGCCGTCCCCGCTGCTGCCCCCCACGGCCGCCGCGGAGAACAGCTGTCTCCGGGGGACCGCGCCGTCCGGGCGGCCGCCGTTCCCGCCTCTCTTCCGCGGACCCCGAGGGGCACACCCCCGGCGGCGGCGCTCACACCCGGAGGGGACGGTGGAGAGGGGCGCGGAGAGGTCCCCGCGGATGGCGCCCACGAACCGCACGGCTCCCGGGACCCCCCGGCACGCGCGGAGGTGGCGCGGCGAACCCCGGGTTGCTAGGTCCCGGACGGGTCCGGCCGGCGCCCCCTGGTGCCAACCCGTTGCATTTCACATCTCTTAATTAGTTCTCATTCCATATTTTGCCCGGAGAACTTTCCCTGGGGAAGACTACTAGCAAACTCCTTTCTTTTCTGTTGTTTATTGTTTTTGTTTGCTTTGGTTTGGTTTTAGAGACAGGGTCTCATTATAGCTCAGGCTGGCCTCGAATATATTATGAGGCTGAGACCGGTGTCGATCTGAGACTCGGAATGATCCTTCTGCTTCTACCTTCCAAATACAGATGTGCACCACCGTGTCCAGCTCTCCCGCTACAATTGTTTTAAAAAATTGTTTGTTATTCTTACCGTGTGTATGTGGGGCGCGCGTGCGTGCTACCATTTGCGCGTGCATGGAAGCCGGGAGATAGCTTCATGGAGTCAGTTATCTCTTTTCCACTTTTACATGTGGTTGGCGGATGGTACTCAGGTCACGATTTCTCGGCAAACGCATTTAGGTACCTGTGGAGACCAGAAGAAAAGCCATCGGATCCCCTGGAACTGGGGTTACAAACTGCTGTGAGCTGCCATGTGGGTCTGGGGACTCGAACCTTGGTTCTTTGGAAGAGCAAGTGCTCTTAACCATTGAGACATTTTCCCCCCTGCCCCCATCCCTCGCGGGGGTTAAACTTGCTCCTGAACGGATGTGCAACCTAAGGGCTTATCTACTCTTGGCCTTTCCTGGACCTCTTACATAATGTTCACACTAGTATAAGCAAGAGCACAACCATTAATGGAGGCCGGGTTGAGGCAGGAGGCCAGCAGGTTTAAGGCCAGTCAGAACAACTTAGAAGTTGTCTGTCAGGGCAGGAAGTCAGGGCAGGAACTCAAGCAGGGCTGGAACCAGGTGGCAGCAGCTAATGCAGAGGCCTTGGAGGGGTCCTGCTTACTGGCTTGCTCCTCATGGCTTGCTCAGCCTATTTTCCTATAGAACCCAGGACTCCTGTCACAAAAGAGAAGTGTGTGTGTGTGTGTGTGTGTGTGTGTGTGTGTGTGTGTGTGTGTGTGTGTATGGTGTTTCCCTAGTATTCTTGAAGCTGTAGCTTCTAGTATTCTTGAAGCTGTAGCTTCGATTTCTGGTATCCAGACCCAAACCCACAAAATGCATGTGATCCAGGATGTCACCTCAGCTTTTCAGAACTGGAAACTTCTAAATTTTCTCCAAATCTATCTCCTGGTGACAGAAGGGGAGGGGCTCAGAATTTGACCCAGGATTTCTTATGATAGTATACCTAGACTTCATCTGGTCAGATTCAAACTCTTTTCAGGGCTGAGGTGTAGCTCAGTGTTCAAATGTTGCTTGGCTACAGACACTGACTCAAGTTTGATGGACAGCCAGCACAACAATGGAGGGCCGCCTCCCATCAGGTGCTGATTATTTAAGATTATTTAAGGGTCTCCTCTTCCACCTGCATACCTGTGGGAGCCCACAGAGTTCTCCTAGTGAGAGCTGAGCTCACTTTAGCAGCGGGACTGCATAAGAGGATGACTGGACCACGGGCCTAAGTCCCAGGTGTTTGGAAGGGTCTACACTTGGCTGTATCTAGCAAGGGGGAGGTCTTTGCCTCGCCTCCTTGGCATTGTTATAAAAAGTCCTTTTGAGCCGGGCGGTGGTGGCGCACGCCTTTAATCCCAGCACTCGGGAGGCAGAGCCAGGCGGATCGCTGTGAGTTCGAGGCCAACCTGGGCTACCAAGTGAGTTCCAGGAAAGGCGCAAAGCTACACAGAGAAACCCTGTCTCCAAAAAAAAAAAAAAAAAGTCCTTTTGAATAAAGTTCTGGGCCATTGGGTATTGACCCAGGTCCCTCCAGAAGCTATCCTGTGTTTCTGTTTTTCTTCTTCTCACTAGGCCTATCATTCTATCTACAAGTTCCTTATTCCTCTCCTCATAGGAACCCTGTAAAAGGTGGGGGCTGGTCACCCACACATACCCCGTAATCAAAGAGCCTTTCAATGTGGTCAGTGTGCTGGATAGTTGTATGTCAATTTGACACAAGCTAAAGTCATCTGAGAGGAGAGAATCTTAATTAAGAAAATTCCAGCCAGGCATTGGTGGCTCATGTCTTTAATCCCAGCACTAAGGAAGCAGAGGCAGGTGGATCTCTGTGAGTTCAAGGCCAGCCTGGGCTACAGAGTGAGTTCCAGGACAGCTAAAGCTACACAGAGAAATCCTGTCTCAAAAAAAAAAAAAAAAAAGAAAAGAAAATACCTCCATAATACCCAGCTGTAGGGCATTTTCTTAATTGGTTATTGACGTAGGCAGGCCCAGCCATCCCTAGGTACCATCCCTAGGCTGGTGGCCCTGGGTTCTATAGGAAAATAGGCTGAGCAAGCCATGAGGAGCAAGCCAGTAAGCAGCACCCCTCCATGGCCTCTGCATCAGCTGCTGCCTCCAGGTTCCCACCCTGCTTGAGTTCCTGACCTGACTTCCTTCAGTGATGGACTATGATGTGGAAGTGTGAGCCAAATAAACCCTTTCCTCCCCAACTTGCCTTTGGTCATGGTGTTTCGTCACAGCAATAGAAACCCTAACTAAGACATTACTCAAGGCCCTGTTCTCTCAAAGAAGTTTCCTTGCTCAAAATCGGTTGTAGGGTTGGCGTGTGGAGTGGTTGCCTGGTGTGTCCAGGGCCCTGAGTTCATTGCCCAGCAAGAGAGAAAAAGAACTGTGCTATCTACCATATGGTTGTTTGGACTTAAGAGGAAGAGGCAGACATGGGTGTCATGGCTCAGGCTTGTAATCTCCAGCCACTGGAGAGGCTGGGGCAGGAAGAAGATTGCCAGGAGTTTGCCTGGGTTACACAGCTAGTTCCAGGCTGCTCAAGACTACACACAGGGAAATCATGTCTCTAAATAAAGAAATAAGTAAGGAAGAGGCAGGCCAAGAGCCCTCAGTAACGACATTGTTCTCAGCCTTGGTAAAGCTTTCAGTGAATGCCAGCTGTGTTATCCTCGACCCCACCACTCCCAGCTACATCCAAGGTCTCTGTGCTCTGGGCACTCAATTCATTCTTCACCACTAAGCGAGACCGCATCCTAAGCATCCGGGATATAAACAGTGCACAAAACTGCCGTTTTGCTGACCAGCTCTGTCAAGGCTTCCATGAATATATTCATCGCTGCCACAGATACATTAATTGAAAGAAGGGAGGCTTTGTGAACTCTCTTTACCCTGCGTCCCATTATCTTTCTTCATTCTTACCCCCTCGACTTTTGTGGTTGCTTTAGCATGCGTGCGTGCGTGTGTGTGTGTGTGTGTGTGTGTGTGTGTGTGTGTGTGCACAAGTTCACATGTATGTGTCCAGATCCACTTGGGTGGGTGGGTTGGGGAGTTAGTTCCCTCTGTCCACCATGTGGATCCTGGAGACCAAACTCAGGCCGTCAGGCCTTGGTAGCAGGTACCTTTTTTTCGTTCATTTGGTTTTTTCGAGACAGGGTTTCTCTGTGTAGTCCTGGAACTGCCTCTGTAGACCAGGCTAGCCTCGAACTCACAAAGATCTTCTGCTTCCCGAGTGCTGGAATTAAAGGCGTGTGCCACCACTGCCTGGCTCTCAATAATCTTTAAATTACATTTATTTCTCTATTTGTGTGTGAGAGAGCCATCTCATTAGCCCCCTTTCTGCTTTTGAGACCTCAAACCTACAGCAATCCTACCGTCTCAGTTCTTGGCTCGAGGTAGTGTCACTGTTTCCAATGGTCGGTGTCTGGATGGGGTGCTTCCAGGTTCTTGGTGTCTTACTCAGAGGAATTGAAAATAGGTACACACAGATTGGAAGATATCAACTGGAGCCCAGTCCCAGTGGACACATCTACAAAACAACTCCGGAACCTAAGTCTGAGGGAACATTCCAGAAGAGGGCTTGGAAAGACTGTAAAAGTCGGAGGATCAGGGAGTTTGCTGCGAGATTGTGTCTCTTAGTAATGTCAGAAGCTACACCCATAAAGTCTCACCAAAATGACTGCCCAAACACGAGCTGAACAAAGAGAGCAACAATAGACAGACAGAAGTGGATGCGGGAGAGACGGGACCTCAACAGTCTTAGAGAACATCAATTGGTTACCTAACACCAAGTGGTCAGTCCTGAAAACACACACACAAATAACATTACACAGACAGAGCAGGTTATATTTAGGAATATGTACATACGTACGTATATGCAGGTAACAACCAACCATTAATGAAAAAAGAGAAGCCATGAATTTGAAAGAGCAAGGAGTAGTATGTGGGAGGAAAGGGAAGGGGGAGCTGATGTAATTATTATAATTTCAAAAATAAAAGAAATAATAATCGTAACAGAGAGGAAGCTTAGTCAAAGGCAAGGTGACGGCTCAGATTGGAAATGCTGCCAGAGACATGGAGGGAGCTTCTTGGGGTGAAAGAAGTGAAAGCTCCAGGTTAGTGCCTGAGGCTTCTTTTATGGGATCTAAAGAAAAGAGGTGCTAGATGGTAAGGGGTGTCATTTAAGTGGTTTTCTATTTAATTGACAATTAACATAAACTTTACTCTATTGCCCATGTCTCTTCCCGTGACGTGTCTGAGTTGAATCACCCAGTTATTTGTAGGCATAAGATGGTAAATTAGAGTTTTCTCCTAAAGTCCACTCAGAGGACTGTGCATACCTTTCATATCCAAGTATGTTCTGAATATGTTTGGATAGAAACTGAGTTTCTACCACTTTTCCCTTTCTCCTGCGTACTCTGTTTTCCTCTAGATAGGATAACTTCCGTTACGATACACACATATTGTTATATCCTTTCTCTCCCCTCTGGTTTTTTTGTTTGTTCGTTTGTGGTGGTGGCACACACCTTTAATGCCAGCACTCAGGTGGGAGAGGCAAGCGGATCTCTCTGAGTTCCAGGAAAGATTAAAAACAAACAAATGAAATTATAGTGTGTGTGTGTGTGTGTGTGTGTGTGTGTGTGTGTGTGTGTGTGACATGCATATGGAGGTCAACGTCCAGGAGTTGGTTTTTTTCCTTCCATCAGGTCTCAGGGACCAAACTCAGGTCTTCTGGTTTGATGGCAAACCTCTTTACCAGTCAGCCATCTCCTGCCCCTATTCTGCCATTTCTGTTCATTTGCTTTGTTTTGTTTTTCAAGACAGGGTTTCTCGCTGGGCAGTGGTGGTGCACACACCTTTAATCCCAGCACTCAGGAGGCAGAGCCAGGAGGATCTCTGTGAGTTCGAGGCCAGCCTGGTCTACAGAGTGAGTTCCAGGACAGGCTCTAAAGCTACAGAGAGAAACCTTGTCTTGAGGAAAACAAACAAACAAATAAAAACAAAACAAAACAAAAAACAAGGTTTCTTTGTGTGGCCCTGGCTGTCCTGGAATTTGCTGTGTAGACTGGCCTCAAACTCACCTGTCTCTGCCTCCTGAGTTCTGGGATTAAAGGCATGCATGAGCCACCGCTGTCTGGCCCATAATTTTTTTTTTAACTTTAATTTTCTCAATATGTTAAAGTCCCAGTTTTCTTTTGGATTCTTTTTGGCTGGTTGCTGCTCTCTGTTGGACATGGCAGTAGTTTCCTGGAGGCCGGCCCTGGGGGAAAGTCAGGAAGGGATACAATGCATTCATGGACAAGAGCTCTTGGAATCGTACTGTAAAGAAGGGAAGAGAAGAGGACAGAGGCCATTCAACTGCAGGGTATTCTTCAGTTAATTCTGAGAAGACCTTTAAAATGAAGGCAGCATGCCTTACCGAGTTATGTGAGGAGCCTGACATTCCTGGCTTGACCAGTCCTCGGTGTGATGTTATCGCTATCATGAGATTCTGGGAGACGTCCCTCTGGTTAGCTGCCTCCTGGTTATTTTATGGTAGAGGACAGGAGAGTTCACCGAGCCCTGGGGCAAGACGACACAGGTATGTTGTTGTCTCTTCAAGTGAATGTGAACTGTGCCTTCTCTCTGCAGAAGAGGGGAGAGCATGGCTTCCCATCAGCTTTCTGTGTTATTTGGCTGAGGCAAGAATTAAATGGACATAAAATTGGAGAGTCAGAGGTGGTGTCTCATAACTGTAACGTGGGCCATCCTGGGCTACGGGGCAAATTCAAAGCTAGCTTGGAATAAGGAAAATAACAAAGAGCAGGAACTAGTAAACACAGCTGGCCTTGCAAGCCCACACCTGTGGCCCCAGCATTTACAGGGCAGAGGCAGGAAGACTGGTGAAAATTCAAGGCCCATCTGGTGTTTATAGTGAGCGCCAGGCTGGCCATTTTGTCAGGAGGAGGAGGAAGAAACTAAGGAAATACAAAATAACTGTATAATACTGAAGGTGGACAAAGCTGTTTGTTCTGATATCAAAGATTTTTTTTTTTTTTTTTTTTTTTGGTTTTTCGAGACAGGGTTTCTCTGTGTAGCTTTGCGCCTTTCCTGGGACTCACTTGGTAGCCCAGGCTGGCCTCGAACTCACAGAGATCCGCCTGGCTCTGCCTCCCGAGTGTTGGGATTAAAGGCGTGCGCCACCACTGCCCGGCGATATCAAAGATTTTAAAAAATCTTTTTTTTTTTAAATCCTGTAATCCTAGCTCTTTGGGAGGCTGAGGCAGGAGGACCACAAGTTCAAGGCCCGACCAGTCAATTTAGTGAGAATCTATCAAAGAGAAAGAAAGGATACAGCTCAATAGTAGAACTAATTGCTTAGTATGTGTGAGGCCCTAACATTAATCTCCAGTATCCCCAAAGAAGTCATATATGAGCCTTTAATCCCAGCACTCGGGAGGCAGAGGCAGGCAGATCTCTGAGTTCAAGTCCAGCCTGGTCTACAGAGTGAGTTCCAGGACAGTCAGGGCTACACAGAGAAACGATGTCTCAAAAAACCAAAAGAGAGAAAGAAAGAAAGAAAGAAAGAAAGAAAGAAAGAAAGAAAGAAAGAAAGAAAGAAAGAAAGAAAGAGGAGGAGAAAGAAAAAGAAAGAAGAGGTTGTCACGTATGCCTATGTGTATGGGGGTGGGGGATTTACTCTCTTGCCCAGGCTACTCTGGAATTTATGGGTTCTACAGAATATCAGATTACAGATGTGCAGTGTCACACCTGATAAGAAGCAGGCTTTTCCTAGGAACTGTAGCCATGCTTTTGGATTCTCCAGAAGAGCTGCCAGCCTAAGTCGTGCTGGGATCAAGAAAAATGGGCCTTGGTGGTTCGTGTTCCTGGAGTTGTATCCATGCCAGTGGACGTCCACACGCTCCAGAAGAGAATCTGACATTGCTGCTGCCGTTGTTGCTGTTATAGCAGTGGCGGCCACCGCTGCTACTGTTTCTGGGATTACCATTTCATAATTGCTTACTACAGCTAGCACAGTGGAGACCCTGGCAGCAAAAGTAGCTACCACAGTTAATCTTTCATTCTACTGGGCATGATAAATTTAATTTAATAGTTATATACAATTCGATTGGTTTTGGAAATTATAAATTTATAAACTCAAAAAAAAAAAAAAGAAGAAGAAGAAGAAGCAGGCTTTTGTGGACCAATGAGATGACTATACCAAGCCTCAAAACCTGAGTTCTGTTCCTGGACCTGCATGGTGGAAGGAGAGAACTGATTCCTGCAAATTGCTCTCTGACCTCTAAGCTGTGTCATGAGTGTATGCACACACAAATAACTAACTAAACAAATTTAATACATGTATTTATTTACTTACTTATTTGAGGCAGGGTCTCACTTTGTAGGCTTGCTGGCATGGAACTTGATGTATAAACTAGGCTGGCCTAGAATTCTGTCTTTTCTCTCCTCAGTGCTGAAATTAAAAGCGTGTGCCACCATACTGACTAAAAACATTTTTTAAAATGGGGACTTTGCTTGTTTGTTTTTAAGATTGAATTAGTTAGTTAATTTTGAGACAGCAGGTCTTGTAACTCAGCCTGGCCTCAAACTGGCTATATAGCCAAGAATGACCTGGAGCTTCTGATTCTCTTGCCTCGATTCCTAGAGTGCTGGGGTTATAGGCTTATGAGACCAGGTCCAGTGTTTGTTTAGGTTGTTTTGATCAATGTTGTATAGAGGAAGCACAGTGTCGGTGGTATAGGGTGGGCATAGCTGTCTTCTAATTCTGTATGAGCAGTAATGATAAAAGCCCAATCTAGAAAATATTTAATGTAGTCTTATACTAGAAGACATCAAAGGGTAAATATTATATGTGTACATATCTTTTGTACAAAAGTATATCAACAAAAACCTTTTGTGATGGGCAGTGGTGACTCATGCCTTTAATCCCAGCACTCAGGAGGCAGAGGCAGAGGCAGGTGGATCTCTGTGAGTTCAAGGCCAGCCTGGTCTACAGAACGATGAGTTCCAGGACAGCCAGGGCTACACAGAGAAACCCTGTCTTGAAAAACAAAATAAAACAAAAGCTTTTATTGTTTTGTGTTTGTTTCCAGGGTCTCATGTAGCCCAGGCTGTAGCAGAGGCTGGCCTTGAACTCAGGGTCTCATGTAGCCCAGGCTGTAGCAGAGGCTGGTCTTGAACTCAGGGTCTCATGTAGCCCAAGCTGTAGCAGAGGCTGGCCTTGAACTCAGGGTCTCATGTAGCCCAGGTTGTAGCAGAGGCTGGTCTTGAACTCAAGGTCTCATGTAGCCCAGGTTGTAGCAGAGGCTGGCCTTGAACTCAGGGTCTCATGTAGCCCAGGCTGTAGCAGAGGCTGGCCTTGAACTCCTGATTCTCCTGCTTCTGCTTCCCACCTGCTGTGACTACAGCTGAGCACCACCATGCCAGGCAACCAAACTCTTTTTTTTATTGAAATCAA